CGGTTCGCGCGGGGCCGCGGTCGGGACGGCGCCCAGGCCCCGACCCCCGCGCACCGAGCCCGGGGCTGCGGCCACCCGGCCGGCCCCGCGCGGCCACCCCGTCACCCCCCAGACCCTGCGGGGTCTGAGCACCCGCCGTGCCCGGGGGGAGCGCCCGCTGCCCCCGTTCCCACTGCTGCCCCGGTTCCCACCGCTGCCCTCCGCTCCCGGTGCCTTGGGTGTTAGGGGCAGGCACAGGGTATGTCTGCTCCTAGTGCCCCTTTTCAAGGCTGCTCGAGRCTTCAGCAGCTCTATTTAGGAACTCTCATGCTTGGGAAGGTCACTSTTCTTTGGTTTTCTTTTTCAGCCCTCACTACCTAACAGTTTATTTTGGACAAAGGCAGTGTTGAGTAAGAAATTGCCCGCTGCCGTTCGTGATTCACTTGTGTTTAAGTTAGTTCATGACAGAGGGGTTTTTAAGTCCCAACACTTGGTCGCTTGTGAGCACTTCTTTACTGGCCTCTGCGGTGCCGAGGTGGCTCCTCAGCTGCGTTTCASAGTCCAGGTCTGTGCTGTGGTGACCCTCAGCCCCAGATTCCCCTGTGGTGCAGAGAGATGCACAGACTGGTTCTCATTTCCCTGCTTCTGGCCTTGCTGTCTTTGAATGCCCCTTTTATGCTGAGATTTTCAACTGGCCCTGCAGATCCTGCCAGATAAGAGYTGTGGTCTTCCTCATGGCTGCTCCTCGTTTCTCTCTTTTGGGAGAGTCTGYCCTCATTGTCAGAGATTTCCTAGCGAAAAACATCAGCAAAAATAAGTCTGATGGGGGCAGTGAATGGGGAGGCTGGTGCCACTCTCTCCGCTGAAGCCTTTTCCCTGGGCAGACATGGTGCCTGTGTGGGGGTGGAATTAGCTCTGGAGGCAATAACCCCACAGTTAAATAAATAAAAGGCTTTTGCTTTTCTATCCCTCTGCCCAGTTTGGTGACTCAGGGCAGCAGATCCCCTGTCAAGGATYCCTCAAAGTTTAACGAAAAAGCTTTTCTTCTGTGTTTCTTTGGAAAATCTTTGTTCTATTTTCTCCCTTTGATTTTCCTGCTTCTTGATTTAAGGGCTCCTGGGAGCTGGTTGTCACTGTAGCCACAAATCAKAGTTTAGCAGGTTATTTTCCTTGAGTGGCAGTTTTGGCTTAAGCCACCTCCTATAACCGTGTTCCCCCCTGCTTGCTCATGGTGCGATTGCACCGAGATGTTGCGACCCAGCTGAAGGGACGGGCCACAGTTCCCATCCCTGCGCCCACAGTGAGGTGGCAGATGYCCCGGGACGCTCTGCCATTGACAAAATTCTGCCATTAACAAAAAGGTTTTGAACTTCTTCGGGGTGCTGAGGAATATCTGCTTTCAGAAGTGCATGGGGTTGGGATCACCATGAAGGCACCATGTCACACACTGGTTTTTCCTTAAGCCTCTGGCACAACTGGGCATCCATATTCCCAGGAAAGTGTTTTCCTTGCGAGTCTGGCCTTTGGGCGGACTTTCCTGTTAGCTCTTCTGCTGCCTTCTGAGTTTTTGTAGGAATGAGGGCCTGAGGTGTGTTCTGCTTGCTCCCTCTTGGGGAGGGTTGAGGTGAGTGCTTCCTGGGTGCAGAGCTTTTTAGAGAGCCCGGAACATTTTGAATTTACATGGTTGCATGCTTAAAACTTCCCAGTCGTTTGTCAGCACCCTCGTACTTAGGTGTCTGTTACATGTTTGACGTTAAGTGGTGCAACCTGAACATGAGCTTGAGCCGCGCAGTCCCATCCGCGTCCTTGCGCAGGCTCTGCCAGCAGCAGTGCTCGCTGTGGACAGAGCTCGGGCTGGAAGCAGCTGGTGTGCAGTTATTTTTAGCTGTTTTGCTGAACACATTCCCTGCACCTGGCTAATTCAGTGTGCGTCCTGCAGGCCCTGCTGCGAACRAGGTGGCCGAGCTCCAGATGGCAGCGCTTTCCGTGGGTGTGCCAGCCCCGCTTACCCTCTGTCTGCTCCAGCCGTGAGTTGGGCTCTGCGGAGAGGCAGCAGGCCGGGAGCCTGTGTCAGGGCGCCACGGCTCTCTTCCTGGGGGAAAATTAAGGCCGTATGGGCCAATTTAATTTTGTAATTTTTTTCACTGCGCAATCATAAAGTTGTCTCTAATTAGGAATTTAATAATTTTGTTTAGCATTTGATTAGGAGATGAACACAAACAAGCAGATTTGTCCTGCGTTGTTGTTTGCAGGAGGTCGTGCCTTTGAGCTGCTAAGCATGGTATGTGTTACTGGTGCAGAGGGGCTCTGGTCCTGGCTGCTAGGGACCCTGAACAACTTGGCTGACTAAAAGGTGACATTCTGCGAGAGAGCAGGTTTTCARGGCAGGGTGAGGCACCGATTTGAAACTCACTTTATGCCACATGGCTTGGAAGAAAAATAAAAGCAAGTTTCAAGCATTCATATATGGACTTTCAGAGTTAAATATTCCCCCTGAAACATTTCTGACGCCAGGTGAGACCTGGCATCTTGTTAGGTGCCTTAGTCCCATGGGGAGTTCCACTGGCAGAAAAATCTGCTTTTCCCTTGGTCCGAGGTTCCATGGGGACCCGGCGGRTGCGGGGCCGGCCAGGAGGAGCCCGAGTTCTGCAGCCTCTGCTGGGCTCTGGGGCGGCCCGAGCGCCTGCGACGCGCCTCCGCGGGGCTTCCGCGTGGCCGGAGCTCGCTGCACGCTGCCCCTTCACAATTTCCACGTTTCAGGCACCATCTCTTTAGCAGAGAATCTGGAAATCTTGATAAGCTGGGCTTGGCCTCATTTCTTTCTTTTTTTTTTTTTTTTTTTTTTTTGACTTTCTGCAGTGAAGCCATGAACTTAGACACAAACTAAATTAGACATAGATTTGATATTGTCCTACTGACTGCCTGTGAAGGGAGCTGAGTGATGAGCTTCGGTGTCTCAGTGCTGTAGATGTTGAGAGTGAAATGGGAGATCCTGTTTCCGATGAGATATCAACCAAAGGCCATAGGCTTGGATGGGATCCTAAATTCCTTGGGATAGTTCATTCCTCAGGTTGGCTTTGTTGATGCTAAAGATCTCCAGACCCCAAAATCTATTTATGAGGAGTAACTTTAAATCTAACATTGAAAGTAACATCCAAGTCCCACATCTTCCATTCACTTCAGGCCTTACCCTGTTGTCAGGAAGTTGTTYGGCAGTTGCCCTGCCAAGACGTAGMTCTCTCCTCCTGGAGTGGTTCTTGGTACTTCTGTAATTGGCTCTTTTTTTATGAGTGAGTGTCARTATAGATTGTGACAGTGAGATAGGAGTGAGAGGGACAGGTTTCCATGTGAGATTTGCCTTGTTCCTCCCTTTCTCTAGTTTGATGTTGGCACCCGTAAGACCCCGGCACACGTGCTGCCGTTTCAGTTCTTTGTGACTGCCCCCTGAGAKGTGTTTCTCCCTTTCTTAGCATTTCTTGCCTCCCTTTTCCTGCCTTTGCTTTCCAAAATTGTCACTGAAAGCCTCTTTGCCACTCCCTGCTATTGATGAGTGTCCTGTTCATTCTTCTGATGTTTTGCCTGTTGTTTTTACTGTTTTGGAGAGGGCCTGGAGGATGCTGCTCTTGCCTCTCACTGAAACCTTAGATGAGGCATGAATGGGAACTTGGGCTCGAGAGCCTCCTGGGGCCAGCTGCTGCCYGGCGGGATGAGCCGAGCTGGATCAGCTGGCTCTGGGCAGCGGTAGCTGCTCAGGGCAGGTCTCCCTTTGGCTCTCTAGGATATCAGCAGCCTTTTTTTCATATATAATGGTGCTGTTCRGAGAAGATTGGGGGTTTTGATGTGGAGCTTTGCCCACCTGTGCTKTCATTAATGCCTCTTCTCCCTTGATATGTGCGTTTTGCCTTGTCATTCTGGTTGTCTCTGAATTCACTGGCATCTCCCTTCCTCTTCAGGTGGAGTCAGGTGTGCTGCCTTTGGGACCTACTTGTGAGGAACATGAAAATTTCCCTCCGAAAAATGCAGTAACGGGACAAGAGAGTAGCCGACAGATAGAGCATCTGGTGAGTTGTGGCTCCTGTCTGTGGGTTCAAGAGGGCACTGGATAAATAGGCCTTTTCCTTCCGGAATGAAGCCAGTCTGTTTTCAGGTGAGGGAGTGCAGTACTTCTCCTTGGGGTTTTAATTGTGCAAACCAAACAGAGCCTTTGGGGACAGAAGTATTTGTGGGTGCAAGTGTTCGGTGAAATTGGGAAAGCCGAGCTAGGCACAACCGGGAAAACCAGCAGGCAGAGCACAGGCCTGGAGGATGTTGCTGTGCCAGGGATTTTGCAGAGCCTTGCAYGTGCTCACAGTGGAATATTTCAGGAGAAAATGAGAGGGGAAACACAGCAGCAGTGTCTGTTCTGTGTTGGATTTAGCCTTAGATGAACGTGGTGTGGCTAACGTGGGCCAGATRTTGTGGGAGGAATCCATCCCTTGTGAATTATTCCAGTAAACAAGGACTATTCACCCTGAGGTTCAGCAGCTCGTATCTGGGGGACCAAGAATGGTAGCAAGTAAATAGAAATAAAGGGACATCCCCAGAGGACATCTGCTCTCTGTTAGATGCCATTTGAATTAGAATAAGAGTTTATATAGCACAGCTAGTGTCTCAGGCTGGGTGTTTTGCTTAGCTCTCTCTTCTTTCTCTCTCAGAARACTATGCCCAAACATTGAAAGGGTCAGAGGAGAGAAGAAAGGGCCATAAGAAGAGCTGTTTGACTTGAAAAGTTTTAGGGTTTATTGCCTTTTTAAAACTTTCCCTGGATTTAAAAAAACTCCTTGTGTTTTTCCATTTTCTAAAGAAAACGGCAAAAACTTGTGTGGCATTGGGTCAGAGCAGCTACACTTGAATTTCTTGTACATTGTATGAGCATGGGGTTGCTGAYCTGCGTGTGCTTCTTTGCTGCAGGAATTTGAACTCAAAAAAAAGCGCAAAAAATGTGAAAACCTTGAACATGAAGTGAGGAAAAAGCATAAAAGATGCAAAGAACTAGTAAGTATTCTTGGTCCTTTCTGTTGCAAACATAATAGTAAAAWAGTTATTTGTAGCATTCTTTTCTTGGATATTCTTCTGCTTATCTCAGTAAGGGGTCACTAGCTTTTCTCCTGGTTTTAGCAGTGTTGCAAATGTGGGGCTTCAGTCCTTGAAGCTGCGTTTATTTAATCTTTCAGCTGGCGTGGGTTTCACTGCTGGATGAAACTCCKTGACTCTTACTAGTTTGGAGTGATTTTTACCATTTTCACAAGCACTCCAGAGAAGTATTATGAGGTTTCTACCWCTTGAGATGATAATTACAGATACTCATGGTCATTTCCTTGTGCTTCTCATTTGCTGGATGAGAAGCTGCCTCTGCAGGTCCTATCACAAGATCTGGATTTTTCCCTTGCATTTGATCTTTCCCAAGCATATTATCCACACGTGGTATTGTAACTGTCACAATGTTTAGTTTCACCCAAGGGTGTTGACTCTCAGTAGATGTTTTACATCTTGCTCAAAGCTCAGTTCAGGTCAGGCCTAAATAGCTGTCAGGCACAGCTCAGTCTCTTGCTCCCAACTTCTTGTTCATCTTACCTGCCTCTTTTAATTCCTATATTTTCACAAATGCTATTTTATTCTTTGATATGTGGTGATTCTTTATGTACTTTGGGTACAGTGCTGCCTTTCATATGGTATTATGTGTTAGAGCTTAAATTAAGGAGTATTGTTTGTTTGTTTGTTTTTTCTTTTCTGTTTTTCCTGCTGTCTGSAACTGCCTGCAAATGAGTGTAGCCTGAGGTGGAGATGGGCAGACCGATCAGAGTCAAGCAGTCTGTCTTTATCCACTAGTTACCTTACCCCTATTCCCTGTAGATCTGGCGTTGGACAAGGTGAAACACAACCTAATTGTTTATTCTTGGGCATTTGTGTCTCCACTTGCTTCCTGGTGTCTCCCTACAGTGTCGGCTGCAATTCTCAGCGTTTGCCACTGTTTCAAGATGCCAGAGCAGTGTCCTTGCTTTGCCTTCGGGAGCTGTCCAAAGCTATTTAYATATCTGGCCCTCTGGCTAGTTCCTTTGCTATTGAAAATTCAGGCAGAGACTTATGTGCATCTGTRTACAGTGAGCTAGGTCAGAGTATGGCTCCTCAAAAAAAGAAAAAAAAAGGTAAGATATACCTATATTAGGATATAAGAGATGCCAAGAGAAGGGACGTGCAGTCTGGCTGTCAGATCTAGTGGGGCTTTTCTCCAGTATGACTTGTTCAATTTGTTGTTGGCTTTTTTTTGCCATGCGTTACACACATTTGTTACTACCGAGTCGAAGCTGTGAGGAGCAGTCTTTCCTTCTGTGATCGCTACCTTGGCTAGATGCTTGGTTGCTGCAGCACCTTGGAGTGAGGCGTCTTGCTGCTGGCAGTGTTCATGGGCCGGGTTTCAGTCCAGGGGCATCTTTGGTAGCATTTGATCTGGTCCACTCAGAATCTGTTGTCTCTGTTGCTATTTAGATTATCTTAGTACATGGAAGAGGTCTGCTACCAGAAAAAGACATCACTTTTTTGTTTATCCTCTCGGAAAAGTCTTTCGGAGAAGTTATTCTATTAATTTTCCTAATTCTCTTAGTGCAGAGGGAAGATGTGTGCTGCYCTGTGCGAGCAGCCCCCCGCAAAGCTTGGTTGTGCCTTTATGGTGTGCACGAAGCACAGTCCCCCCTTCTCCTCTGSRTGCCTTAAGCACACGGCAGTAGAGYTGGCTGCTCRCCTCCTGCTCACAGGGAAGGGAATGCCCGGGTTAAGCATCCGGGTGGGAATGGTCTTCATCCCTCATGGTGCTCAGCCAGGCCTAGAAGTCATCAAGAGGGAAGCTGAAGTGCTCTGTGTTTGCTGCCCACATCCCCAGTGAAATGTGTTGTAGGAGTAGGAAGAGAAGTATCCTGTTAGGAACGTGGGGTATGAGACCTCCTCTTTGTTGAGTGTGCACGGAATAATATCTTCATTACAAGCTGACACACGTGGGTAAGGCCAAATCTGAGTGTGCTTCCTTATTGTAACATAAAATTTCTTGGAACTTGAGCTTCTTTGGGATTTCCCAGGAGCAGCAAGTCCATGAGCTGCAGTACTCTGTGCTGGAGAAGTGTCATTGCCTGCTTGCTTTGCTCGCTCAGTGCTGTTGGCCACTGTCGGGAGGAGGATTCCGGGCTAGAGGCCCCTTTACCTGTTTTATTTTCATGTCCTTAAGGGCTAAATAAGTCATKGGATGAGATGTTTTTGGATGGAAGTTTTTCTAGATCAGGAACAGACCAACTCTTCTTAAACTGCTGGGCCTGACACTCTGACAGTGTAGGGATAACCAGGAAATATTTGTATACAGTTTTGGCATGGGGGAGAGTTGGTATGTCTCGGTGGAGTTGTCGGTGTTGTGTTTCTGCAGTGATCTACAAGGCAGGCTGTGCAGAGCCTTGCAGATGGACTAGACCCAGCCAAGTCCCTCCGTGGTTCCATATCTCCTGCTTCCTGAATCCAGGAGATTCATGTCTCCTGCTTGCTCAGAGACACTGTTATCTACCATAGAGTGAGAGCTGACTCTCATTGCCTTCTTSAGTCCAGACTGAATCCTGATTTTTTTGAATTAGCTGTAGCTGTTTTGAACTTAAAAAAAAAAAAAAAAAAGRATTTGTAGTCTGTAACTCCTTTTTAGCCTTATTCCCAATAATATTCCCTCCTAAACTGAAATTTCTCAAGAAGACTTTTGTCTTGAACCAACAGTGAAACTTGCCAAAATGTAGTTGGAGATGGGGAATAGTTCCATATAGCAGCAGTTGCATGAGGTGGCACTGGAGCTGTGAACTAGGCAAGGGAATATCTTTTTCATTCTGTGCTTTGGGGCTACAGAAATAGAAAAAGAAACTTAAGAGAATACCTGATAAAGGATTGGTGCCTGTTTGAGCAGTGCCCAAAAAGGCTGCTATCTTGCAGCCTTCGAACAACATCACACCAGCATCCTGCAGCATCATTCAGCAGGAGCGGTGGAGCTACGTGTTTGACACTCAATAGGAGGTGCCAGGGGGTGAATGAGGCTCTTGCTGGACTAACACSTGCTGTATCTGGACAGGAGATCCAGCTGCAGGAGATACAGACTGAAAATGCACGACTGGCTGAAGAGAACTCGCAGCTAAGCCAGAGGGCTGGATGGGCAGGACAGGTAAAAAGCGGTATTTTTGTCTGTCAGATGGAGCATCAGCTCTGTAAGACTTTGAGAAGAACTTCCTAGAGTAGTAGGGTTTTAGGTTGCCAGCTTAGTAACTGTTGGGTGCCTGCCAGGGTGCCTGCAAGCACAGCAGTTTTACTGTAGAGTTTATTGTAGAATTCCTGTACGTAAGTGAGAGGCCCCTTGAGTTCATGTTTGGTTTGCCTGCCAAAATGACTTGTTAATGTATGGATAAGTGTACATCATATTGAGGACAAATACAAATGCATGAACACTTGATATTGATGAAAACCAGCGGTAGAGGGGATTGGTGTTTTTGATATCACAGCTAGGAGTCAGATCAGTAAAACAGTCTATTGGGATTTGAAAATAAATGGTCCTGTATTATTTATGTATTGACCATGGCTACTTGTGCTAATTGGCAAGCCTTTCTTTCCAGGTTGAATCTGAGAATGCTGACCTGAAGCTGCAGGTTGTTTTGGTTACTAAGGAACGAGATTCAGTGATTCAGACGAATCAAGGACTCCAAATCAAGCTGGAGAATCTAGAGCAGGTGCTGAAGGTCAGTACRACCCATATGGCTGGAAGAAGTGTTTTGAAACCCGGTGCTGTTTTGGGTGGCACAGGTGGTCTCGATGCTCTTTTTGTCCAGTTTTTGCATCTGTGCTTCTCTTGGGGAATCTTCTGTGCTGGCACCCTGGAGTGTGACTTTTCAAGGTGGGCAGAGGAGCTGGAGAAAGGCTGCCCCAGAGGTCTGGGTGGGAGGAGAGAGATGGTGGCCACCACCAAATGAAGCCATCTCTTTGGCTGTGCTGCTCTGCTTTATGGGAGGAATTTCTTTTTGCTCTGTTTAATGATGATGTGAAATACCGACGATATTTTGGTTCTGTGGCCTGTGAGAGGACATGGGACGATGCTTCAGYAGTGTTGTCCTTGAACTCTCTGTGACTTGTTCTGCAGCATATGAGAGATGTGGCTGAGCGAAGGCAGCAGCTGGAAGTTGAGCACAAGGAAGCGCTGCTGGTGCTGAAGGAGAAACAAGAGGAGGTCAGACGGCTGCAGCAGGTAGGCAGCGCACGAGGAAATGGACATTTTGCTCTCTGAATCTCTGGAGAGAGATGGGGCTTCCACACCACGTCTGCTTTGAGGGGCGGTGTAGGGAAGACATATGTATGCRTTTACCAGATAAAGTAACACAAGGAAGCATGTCTTTGGCTGTGGGAACTCTGTTATTTGGGATTTTCTCATGAATCCCAATTCTGATCTCTCAGTGCTGTTTGTCCATAGATCAGAGATGCCTTCAGCCAGCATTTTAAATCTGTTATGGGGTCTGCCAAGGTTATGGTAGTATTAGTAGGAGTGAACTTAGATAGGCTGCTTTTTTATTTACTCTTTCTTATTTCTTTGAAGGCCCAGGCAGAGGCAAAAAGAGAACATGAAGGAGCAGTACAGCTTCTAGAGGTAAGACAAAAGAAAACAAGACAGCTAAGGGGCTGCAGATTTGGTATCCTCTGTTTGTAATACAGTGTTGTTGATGCCCTGGATTTTATTGATTCTTGTGTGGAATGCTGTAGAGGGTGGGTCTGGCATGAGATAGTGCTGCTGTGCTAAGGTTCGGTTGTGGTGGCAGAGTCGTCGCTGGGTTTACAGTTTTGAGGGGTTCAACTGCAGCCTCTTGGGTCCTTGAATTAGGGTACTTCATTCGGACTGTGCCCAATACCTCTTTGAAGGCTGCATATAAGAACTAACCTCTGATTTGCCTACTGCCTTTTTCAGGATCTTCTGCAGGAAGAAAGAATACTTGTGTCCATATTACTTGATTGTGTGTGTGTGTGTGTGTGTGTATGCTATTTGTTAATGAAGAAAGGAGAAATGTGATCTTTACCTTAGTATAATATGCCATGAGGTGAGAGGCAGTTCTTTCATGCCACTTGCTAGTCTGGGACCACGAGTTCTTTGTGAAGAAGGGGCTTTGCCCTGGTGGCAGGTAACAATGATTCAGACTGGGGTTTTCGGAGAGCAGAAACACCTTAGGCTAAGTAGGGTGCCTCATTGTACATTTGGATAATAATGAGGCCTCAKGCTAATGAGGGCAAGAGCCTGACTGCAGCAGTGACGTACAGTCACAGTGAATCGTCTCTGTCCAGCACTGCTCAAGAGCTCTGTGGATGTTAGGAGCCCAGGAGGCCCTGCAGCATGGATAGAGCAGGATGGTAAGTGTCCCTGATAGAGGAGATGGCTTCGTGGCTGCAAACGGCATCTGTTTTGAGTGGCACTGATCAGGGTGTGCACTGTGAGATCCCCAATGTGCCAAGCTCCTACGGAAATTTCAGGTGGACTGAAATTGGGAAAATGTCATGGACAAGTGCTGTTATTTCCAGTATTGCCTGTTCCTTGGCTCGTCCCTGGGCTGCTGCTTTTGGCTGCAAAGATAAGAGCTGGGCTGATACAACCGCTTTTCCTGTCTCTGTTGACATTTAACTGGTTTCTTAGTAACATTTTAAGGGAAGAGAGATTTAATACACAACAGATGTCTTCTGAATTCATTGCAGGGTTGAAGCGGCCTCTCTGGTTTCAACTAGACAGCTACCTGTGTGGAGGAGGAAGGGGACAGTTATTTAAGACCTGAGAGGCTGGTTGTGCTCTTCCATGAGGGCCTCATCAGTTAAATACTCTTGTTTCCATGTTGCTGATACAGGGATGCTTTATGAGTCAGTAATACCAGGACGGCAGAAAGAAGAGAAGTCATTAAAAACTAGTGTAATCTCCATTCACAGAATCCCAGAGTGGTTAAGGTTGGAAGGGACCTCTAGAGATCATCTAGTCCAGCCCCCTGCTCCAGCAGGGACACCCAGAGCACGGGGCACCCAGTCGCATCCAGACGGATTTGGAAGACCTCCAGAGAAGGAGACTCCACCTYCTCTCTAGGCAGCYTGTGCGAGGGCTCGGGCACCCTCACAGGGAAGAAGTTCTTCCTCACATGGAGATGGAACTGCCTGGGTTTCAACTTACACCCATTGCCCCTCGTCCTGTCACGGGCCACCACTGTGAAGAGCTTGGCCCCCTCTTCCCTCYATTCTCCCTTCATGAACTTATGCATATTGGTCAGATCCCCTCTCAGCCAGAGAGAACAGGCCCAACTCRCTCAGTCTCTCCTTGTATGAGAGATGCTCCAGTCCCTTAATGCATTCCTGGGAGGTGTTTRAAGCCTGACTGGGCAAGGCTCAGAGCAAGCCTGCTCAGCCGACCCCGCTTTGAGTGGAGGGGTTTGGGCTTGTCGGCCTCCAGAGATGCCGTCTGCTGTTCTGCGATCCCCTGGTAAGGATGCCAGAGGGTGAGTGAAGGCGTGGGCTGGTTTCTCTGTGAATGGATGCTGTATGGAGACTGGAGCAGCTTGGACAGGAGACCTTAAGAGTTTACGGATATTGAGATGAAAGACCTAGAAGTGATTCTGAAGTAAATGAGGGCACAAGAGTCTCAATTGCCTTTTATGCTTCATAGCTGGAAAAAGTTGAGCCTAGTTTCACAGATCCAGTTTAGACTTTTGTTGGGGAATATGGTGATTAGCGCTTAGCTTAGCTTTGCTTGTCTCTCCTGACCTGGGAGTGGGATGAATGGCTGATCAGGCTACTGGCTACTTGAAATCTCGTCAAAGCTGTGTTCGAGCTGTGTCCTGCTTCCCAGAGCAATTTGGTCTCAGACCTGGGTAAAAGTCTGGCCAGAATGAGTCAGTTCTTTGCTGTTGAAAAGTGGTTGCAATACACTGGGAAAAGAAGGCTTGAAATTCAGCACTTGTTGCTGAAAGCTTTCCAAAATTTGAAGGTCCTCAAAAGATCCGTGCTTGTACATGAAACTTTTTTTTTTTGCGTTTGGATTTAGTTTAGCAAGTGTACGCTTGACTTGGGGTGATAATGCCAGTGTGAAACAGGGCAGATTTTGCACTGCTGTCATTGCTGATGTGATTTTATATCTCTTTTTGCTCTTTTCCTTGCTGACAGAGTACTTTGGATTGCATGCAGGTACTGATATAATCCTATTAAGTAGGATGTGTTTCTCCTCTGCCCTAACTTTGATAGTGGCTTGATGTGTCTACTTTAACTGTGTAAAAGATCGTGAGAATGTCCAAAAAAAAAAGTATTGAAAGGAGCTATCACTGCAAGTACCTACAAGTAGCACCACAAGCTGCTTTTCTGCTTAAAAGCTTTGCTTCCTCAATCAATTAGAATTTGGACCTTTTAGCAAACTTTGGAGCTAGCCATCCTCTGAACAGAAGATGGGACTCYAGAGTCTCCTCTTCTAAATTAAATATTTCTATGATTCTCAGAKCTCAAAAACCAGAAGATACAGAAAAAGGTAACAAGGGAGATTAGGATGGGCAACATCTTCCACCGTATTATAGCCAAGAAAGGTGTCTGGGAGGACAAGAAGTTGCTGGTGGGGATGGGTCTGGCTTGGTGGGAAAATAAGTTGCTGAATTGCTGGTTACGCTCACACCACCCCGCTGTGCTCCCTGCTCTTGCAGCCTGTGCCAGGAGTCATGCTGCTCASTTGCAGGTGCTCTGTGGCTCCTTCTTCTTCCCCTTTTGGGCTGAGCATAGACACGAAAGTCATCCTGCTCTCCCGTGTCTGCAGTTGGGCTCCTGCTGGTTCCCTGAGGTTCCGGACCATCTCCTCAGATTCCCTTGTCCACCTGCTTTGCAGCACTGTCCTGGGAACTCGCTGCCTGCCTCCTTGTGTGTGAATGCCAGAGCAGTCTGCTGGACTAGGCATTGTTTGCAATGGGACAGAAATAATTGGGGATGCTTGTGCATTGTTTTGAATAACACAAGATGTAAAAGACACCTGACCAGTTAATTAGGTATCTCAGAATTAAACTCAGGATTATCCAGGATATTGGCTTGGCCACCACTATAAATGGATTTAAACGGTGATTAACAAACTTACAGGATGGAGGTTTATGATGCTATTAGACACAACATCCAGATGCATCCACTGCCTCAGGTCTCCAGATCCCAAGGTGAAGAACCCTCTGTGGTCCCTCAGTCATTTTGTATTTGCTCCTTTTTGAAGACTCTGTCCCAAGGTGGGATCAGGGACAAGGTGCAGGTCCAGAGGAAGCCCTAGTTTGATGCAGTACAGTTGTCCTTATAGTCTGTATTTTTTTTCATTAGAACACAATGCTTAGAGAGGAGTGTTTATGTTATAAATCTTAACTGAGATAAATATAAGCCCTCATGAGTTCAGAGAAATCCTAGGTAATACAGCTTCAGTGATTAGGAAGGCCTAAAAAAAAMCCAAAACCAGAAGGTAAGCAAAAGAATGTCAGCTGTTACCATTGCTTACAGAAAAGCCTCATAAGTTAAAAACAAGYCTCATGGTTTCTTTGAACCCTTGGACAGATAGTAGTGTCAGAGCACAGAGCTTAGTGCTGTGTGTTTTTATATCTCTTAAATTACAGTACTGAAGCGGTAGTTGTGGATATCTGGAGGGTAAGGGAAGGGCTGTGGTTTTTGTTTGTATTTCTGGTGTGATGTGGCAGAAGGAAAGAGAAGTGGAGAATGCACAGATACTTCTGGAAGCGGTTCATGAAATCCAGTAACACCTTTCGTTATAGAGACGGCTTCGCTTGCCAGCCTCTGCAGTGAATTTCTGTTGAGGCATTTCCTGAACAGTAGTTTTGTCTTAAAGACAGAAAGCTCCTAGCCAGTTAGTAGGAAACAAGAGATTGGCACGTGGATGTGCAGAACGTGGTAGGGAGTGAGCTGGAAGGGTTTTGCAGTCCTCTGAGACAAGAGAGACAGCATCCTCCAGGCCAGATGTGTTTTAGAGCTGCTTAACAAGCAGCTTTTCTGTCTCACCAGACATTTCAAGGCTCGATTCAGTTTTTGAAGTAGAAGGAGGAGGAGGCATTTCAAAAAAATTTGTAGAGCAGAAAATTTGGAAGAGCACGTTCAGTGTGTTCTATTTTGATGCGTCTTACCTATGCAGAGAATTAGATGAGTGACTAGGAAGCCTGATGTGATCTCAGCCTGGAGAGGAAGAACGGGAATAGGAAGCACTCAGATGTCACCTCCTGCAAGGCAGAGCTGCACCTCAGCCAGATGCACTAACATCCAACTAAATAAGTTAGGTTTCCTGCATGAACTCTGTTGAAGAACTACTGATTAGATGACCAAATGCTGTCCAGCATCAGTGGCTCTTGTTCAGGCGTTACCTGAATTGCATCAGCGGGGGCTACAGTGAAGTGGTCTTTGAACGTGGAGTGAGCTGTCGTGTGGTGGCAGGAGTGCTAAGTTGGGGTCTCCTGGGAATGCAGCTGCGACAGCTGGGGAGTGTGCAGGGGGAGGGTAGGGACAACTGAAAGGGTGGCCAGGACTTGACAGCATTTTGGGTGGGGAAGAGGCAGAGATGGTAGAAAAAGAAGAATACTAAGAAATGGAAACATTTTTCCCTTCTCCAAGTAGGAACGAGTATTCTCAATCTTTCTGTTTTCAGGGCTTGTTTTTGGCACATCTCACCTTTTCTTGTGTAAACCTTGGACAGGAGATTTATGCTAAACCCCAGCATTTTGGGAATATTCCCGATTCAGGAATTCTGAATTGGATCCTGAATTGAATCCTAATTGAATCCAGTTTCTGAATTGAATTTGTAGTTGGCTTCCTAAGAGGTGATGCGTCTGGAGTTCTCAAAGAACAGACATGGAGCTGCCAACTCCTATTGAGCATTCCGGGACTGGGGACCCTTTTAGGTCCTTAGATGTTGAGTATTACTTATTTTCTAAAAAGATGCTGCAAAGAGAAATGCTGTCTGGAGGCCTCTTGGTGGTTTCCATATGTCCTTACATCTCACCTTGTGCCTCTCTCTTCAGGCTCGGGTGAAGGATCTGGAAGAGCAGTGCCGCAGTCAAACGGAGCAGTTCAGCCTCCTGTCTGAGGAGCTCAAGCAGTTCCGGCTTCAAACGGGAAAAATTGACCTTCTCACCTCCACGCTGGTCACTTCGGAGCCTCCTCTCGCTCTGTGCAGCTCCACCCCGCAGCCCCCCTCGGAGAAGGGTAATTGCTGGGTTGGCAAGCAGGTCTTTGGAGAAGTCTGTTGTCATTGGTGCAAGTGCAAAGGTGTAAAGAAACTGCTCAGCTTTTCACATCTCTCTGGTTTACTCTGTCTCTCATAAATACCTTTGTTTTGGAGTCATGAAGGAAAACCCAGCCCTTCTCTGACCAAAGGGAGCCCTGGTTATCTAGTCCGTTGCACTGTTAAATAAATCCCTTTTTTAGAGACATGAGCTGCTTCAAAGGCACACTGGTATTCACTGCTGATCTTGTGTTCTCCGTATGCCTAAAAGCAACAAACAGATTATTTTATTGCAGATTCAACTATTGTTCCTGCACTGCTGACTCACCAGGATACAAAGAAGATTCACAATGAAGAGGTTCAGTTGGAAACCTTACAGCGGATGCCAGATGCCACTGTGGGCTCTCCAGTTGTTGCTACCAGCTCTCACAAACAAGCCAAGAAGGTGGAATCCCAGTCAAGCTCTTCAAAATCTGAATCCATGCACAACAGTCCCAAATCCTGCCCGACTCCAGAGGTCAGTATGGGAGACCCATCAGGGCTCTCTCCTTTTTAAGTCRAGAGAGAATAAACGCACTGCCGAATTTCCTCGGTCTTGCATTCCTTCCCTCCTGACTGCCTGAAATAAATGGTTGTGAAACATTAAAAAATTGAAAATCTATAAAGGCTTTGGATGTTCCTTATCTTTAATTCTAATYTGTACAAGTTGTACTGCTCCAAGAAGAAAGCAGTTAACGTGCTATGGTGACCTCAGATCACTAGATCAGGGTGGCCTTGACTTTGTCTGGCTGAGGCTTGAAGCCTTTCAAGGGTGGAGATCCAGTGTCTGTGTGGGAACTATCCCAAGGCTTCATTCCTCTCCCGGGAAAGAAATTTTCCTAATATCCCACACGAACCYTTGCCTGTTACTACTCGTACCACACCTCATCAGGCAGTCTTAGGTAGTCCCAGTGGGCAACGAGCATCACACACCAGCTCAGAGGACTGGTTCACTGCTCTGGAGGTCCTATGAGTGTTCTCTTTTCTGGTTTGTGCCGTATCTTATCTTCCATCTTCAGTGGTTTTTCTTTGTTTGTTGGTGGTTTGTTTCAAGGTGGACACTGCAAGTGAAATGGAGGAGCTGGATGTTGACAGCATCTCTCTAATTCCCGAGTCAGGCGGCCACGGCCCTGCAAAACTGCAAGTCTTCTTAGCTCGATACAGGTACCGTGTCATCTCTTGTGGTCTTCGGAGGTTAGACAGGTTATCTCACAGTTGGCTTCAACCTGGTCTCCAGCATAAGCCACTGCTAAGGATGGGTATTAGTGTGTTTGTGCACCTGTGTATTCATTCATAGGAATTTTGGGGTGCTGTATTACTGGCATAAGCAAATTCACTGCACTTAGTGTAATGAAAACCTARCAGACTCATGAGTTGGTCAGTGAGCAGCACCGCTTGAAACTTTACTTTTGAGAAAGGTTTTGGGTGGAAGGTTGAATTTTCAATTGACACATTTCATGAAATATGTGATTTCCACAGAAGAGTCTAGTTTTCTCCAAGAAAATCTCATATGTAAGCTCAATTTATATATTAAAATTTTGGCTCAAGTCTTTATGGTTGAAATAAAATAAATAAAAAGGATGAGGCAAGAAAATCTACATTGAATGAAGCCATTGTTTTCTGATAAGTTCCTATCCACTGAGCTGTTATGGTTAATGCAAATCCATATTCACAATGAAAAGAATTTTGACATATCCTTCACCTCTTAGGCTATGGAGAAGGAAGAAGAAAATTGTAGTGATTCTGTGCTTGAAAGGGGCAGGTTAAACATGATCTGTGTGCTCAGTTTGAAGTTTTGGGCTTACAAGATCTCAGCAAGCTCRTAGAGAGGATGACCTTGCTTTGGCAAGCTGGAATCCCTCTTAAAGACCAAAGAGCAGCAATTAGCAGTAGGTGATTGTGAAGGCAAGACATCTCTTGAGGCCTTTTTAAGTTGTAAGTCGTCCAATTAGCTCCATCTGTGGTAGATTCTCAGCGGATCCTACCTCCAGGTAGGTTAGAACTACCTGGAGCACAAATCCAATTACCAATTTATTTAAAATGTGGAGTTATAAAAGCTCCACTAGCATGAAAACGTTAAGCTGCAGTCCAGCAAAGGGAGAGGTATAGCTTGGATCCTGAGGACTGGATGGTTGTGATGGAAAATGCGAGCTGCAAGCATTTTCTTCATTCTTATGTAACATTCTTTTTGCCCAAATCAGGTCATTCAGGTTTTGCACATAAGAAGTTTGAGATTCAGTGTTGTGCTTGTCCCTGACAGCTTTTTATCTGGCTAAGYGTATCTTAAATGCTTTGGGCATTTTCAGTGTTTTTTCAAAACTATTATGTGCATGAAATGTAGAAAGTTATTTACAAAATATGGTTGCTAATGCAGGTGGTTTTAAAAATGTCAATTTTAGAAATGCTGAATCATGTAACTTGTTTATTTAGTATCTTAACATGCAGAAAAAAAMCAGTAGTCACACAGATAATTCAAATAAGCACTTTTTAAAAACACGTTTTCTTGCATTACGCTGATCTGATTCCTTCAGACTTCACAAGACATCTGTTGTACTACTCAGAAAAGTTGTTCTAGATGCTGCTTGAATATGGAGCAAGATGTTACTAGCTATATATAGACCCCAGAAACTAGGGTCTTGACCCTTCTCTGTGGAATTAGCTGCTTGCAAAAAGTAGATGCTGTTCCAGTGGGTTTAAGCTTCTCTAACATCACAGCTTGCAAGTGTTGTTACAAGTTACCGTACAAAGTAAGTTTTCTTCCTGTAACTATTTCAGCTACAATCCTTTTGATGGACCTAATGAAAACCCCGAGGCTGAGCTTCCSCTCATTGCTGGAGAGTACATTTACATCTATGGAGACATGGATGAGGATGGCTTCTTCGAAGGTGCGCTTGAGTGGAATGGCGTGTGACTCAGCTGCTGTGGAGATCTGATCTCCTTGAAAAATCAGAGAGAAATTTCGTTTAGCTTAAAATTACTMGATAAAGCTTTTGTATCCAAGGATATTTTGTTGGAAGAGAGAGCAGATTATGTTGGAAAAGGGTTYGTTTATGTAATGATTAGTTAAATCTAAGAAATGACATCCTGGCCTGGTGAATTSAGTTCACTTTCGGTTGAACTCCAGGTTCCATGCACATGTCCCTCCCTAGCCGTGGAGAGAAGCAATGTTCAGTCCATAGGCCCCTTCTGCATTCCCKCTTTCCATAGGCTGCGTCGTGAGCCATAGCCTGAAGACACGTGATGGTCTCAAATGCCTCCTGCTCTTTGAGGCAGAGCAGGGCTTGAGCTAAACAGCCAAAAAAGCCTTTGTCCTGTTTGGTGTCCTGCAGTGCATGTCTCTTGACACCTTTGAAAACTTGGTCCTGCTTGATTAATAGGCAGCTGTAATTGAAACTGTGAATTGTGGCCTGCAAATTTGTAATAAAACTTCCTTGTGGAGCTGCCGTGCTAAATTTTTATGGGCTAAGCTCATAGCTTACTTGGGTGCTTTGCACGAGCTGAGTCAAATGCATGGCATGTTACTTTGCTTGTTCTCTCACTGCTCTGGCTTGCTCCTTGTATTTCGAAGCTTCTTGGTTATTTCTTTGTTACTTGAAGAATGAAAAAGGTTATTCTTTATTAACATTTCTTGCTATCCTTGCTCTCAGTTGATTTGATGTAGGTGGAGTTTGAAAGGGGAGAGTATGTGCAGTGCTTAAGCACTGCACGTTTAATGCTGATCTGATGGATCTTGCACATACCACGAGTTCTGTGGTATCTGTCATCTTCATGGTTTCTTTCTAGACACCTTTATTCCAGCAGCTACATCACAATGGAGGGAGCTAAAAAGAAGGCCAAAGATGAATACAGAGCTGGAAAGATGGAATTTCTTGAGTACTACAAAAGCAAAAAAATCTGTGTGGCTGGGAGAAGAGACATGCTGAAAGTCTGCATAGTTCGGGAAGGTTAGAATAAAAGACATTTAAATTAGTAAAAGACCTAGGATCAGGAACAATGGGATAATGAAGAAGGAAACAACCTTAATCTGATTACTCAAAACACTGTCCGGTTAGTTGCCTCTGCAAATGTGTGGAGAAGTGAGTTTTCTCCCTGTGGCCGTTGGGATGTAGCTAGGATCGTTGGAAATGGAGCAGCCTTGTCCAGGGATAGCCTCCCAGAGGCACTTTGATTCATGACTCCACTGCAGTCGTGACCTGGCATAGATGATGCCACCTYATCTTGATAGATGGTGCGGAGGCTGAAAGGCAGTTTCAGCGGTAACAGGTTTCCTGTTTTCTGTTTAGGGGAGCTGATGGACGGCCGGCGAGGGCTGGTCCCCTCCAATTTTGTTGAGCGAGTTTCAGATGATGACCTCATGACATTTCTGCCTTCGGAGCTGAACGATCTCACCCAAAGTTCGTACCAGGAGAAAAGTTTTGTCAGTGCAAGTACCAGCAGTGGAGATAAGAGTGATTACTCCATTGAAGAGAGTAGCATCAGCCCACTGACCAGTAGAGCAGAAGGAGACCAGGAGGAGCCTGTTAGTCACACAGCAGTGCCTTATCCAAGAAAATTGACTTTGATCAAGCAGCTTGCCAGAAGCATAGTGGTAGGCTGGGAGCCACCGCTGTTACCAGCTGGCTGCCCAGACATACAGAGCTACAACATCTATGTGGATGAAGAGCTACGTCAAAACGTGAAGAGTGGCTTTCAGACCAAAGCAGTGATTGAAAAGCTGGATTTAAAGACCAAGTCTTACCGTGTGTCTGTGCAGAGCGTGACAGAGCAAGGCCATTCTGACAGACTGCGGTGCACTTTCTTTGTGGGGCAACATCTCTGTGTGGCACCAACTATGCTGAAAGTGAGAAGYGTCACGGCCACCTCTGCAGAGCTCATGTGGCTTCCGTGCAACAGCAATTACAACCACGCCGTGTATCTCAATGGGGAGGAATGCGACGTAACCAAACCCGGGGTGTACTGGTACACCTTCCGCAACYTGCAGCCCAGCACCCAGTACGTTGCCAAGCTGGAGGCCCGGCCCATGAAAACGCCCTGGGAGGAGCTGCCGGAGGGGCAGGAGCAGAACTCGGCTGTGATCCACTTCAGCACCCCGCGAGCAGGTATCGGAGCGCTCGTGCCTGCCGCYGCTCTGCGCGAGCGCTGGGGGCACTGAGCTCTGCCCTTATTTTGCTCTGAGGCCGTGGAGCAAAGGGAAGCGAGGTTTGTTAGGTCCAAAGAGGGAGATGTTGCACTGTTTAGTCTTGGTTTTTTTTTTTTTCTTATTTCAAAAAATTATTATCTTTATTTTCATTTGCTCTGGGAGAACATCCCCTGTGCTGATATGAGCAGCATGCCTCTCAGGCAGTGGAGTATATAGTTTGCCATGACCTTCCCTCACCCTGCTTTAAGGGTTGCTGCATCTTGGCTTCAGCTCCTTTTGCAAAGTTGTCTTTTCTGTGCATTAAAACGTTCACAGAACAAGACCACCTTGCTTGCTCTGGTTTTATCTGCCATTTTCCAAGACTATCCTAACTTTTCCAGTGCAGTCCTGCAGTGGCAAATGTGGTGTAAGAGTTTGCTGTTTGCTACCAGCTAAGCTTTGGTTTGGCATCATGCAGCAGTGAGGCAAAAAGAATGAAACYCCCATCTGTTGCAGGTACTCCTGATGCTCCTCTGGATGTCCAAGTGGAACCTGGTCCTTCCCCTGGTATCCTGGTTATCAGCTGGTTGCCTGTCACTATTGACGCAGAGGGATCCTCAAACGGAGTGCGGGTGACGGGCTACGCCGTGTACGCGGACGGGCAGAAGGTACCGCGCCGAGCGAGCCCGTGCGTGCGGGGCTCGAGGCCAGTGCTGGGCACGGCGCGCGGGCAGAGAGAGCCGGTGTCCGTGTGCGGCAGCCAAGGCATGTGCTGATGTGGGGGTGCTCATTGGGGTGCTCCTGGGGCCTAGCTGAGGGACCCTGGCTTTCTGCCTTTGTAAGGTAGAAAGGAAGACAAAATCACGCTCTAAAAAGCAATTGGCTTTTTCCCGCGAGAGGACGTTTTGAATAAACGTGTCGTTGCGTGCGGGATGGAGGCTGGGACTGCAGGTCGACAGTGTAGGGCTGATCCGAACTGGAGAATACGGATGTTATGCCAGAGCTGGTTCATGCTGGTGTCCATAGGGGAGATAAACRAACTACCATATGGAATGTGGAACCTTCTCCCCATAGAAGTGATCCTCCAGGCTATGTATGTACCAGAAAGACTATATGCCTTGATAATTATTTAGTCTAAATTCACTGATGATAGAAGAGCCAAAACCACAGAATTGCTACCGAGAGCTAAAGCAATTTTACAATATCCTATTAGTAACCCCATGTTTTACTACTCATTTGTTATTTCTTTTTGTAGAATTTCTGTAGGATTTTGAACTGGATCCTGTAGCAAGGCAAATTCCGTATCTTCTTGAGGACTCCCAACCTATTTACTCAATGAACTGCTTGCTCATTGATAGTGTCTTAAGAATTTGGTCTCTGCTTTCCATGCCAGTGTGACATTTGACGCTGTGTTCATAGGGATCCCATTAGTGTTGTATTTCCTGCCCTGGCTGCTTCCGTGCTCTCCCTCAGCACGCTGGAGTCAGTGTCTCCATCCAGCCCAAACATAGTCCTTGGGTCCGTGGGTAACACAGTCCTAGTTTAGTCTGTACAAATTCCCTCTTCCTCATTGAGCATGCTAATTGATTTTGAGTTCTTTGGCACCTAGTAGTGTCTCACTACTGTTGACTAAACAGTTTCACTGAGCATGAACATACACATTTAAACATGAGTCCTTCCTCCTTCGCAGCTGATAATCCAAAGAAAAAGGGATCTTGAGGGATCAACTGGTTGGCCAGGAGCTCAATATTTCTGTTAGAGAATGAGGCATGGAGGTTGCTGAGCAGTGCACCGAGCTTTGCTCTCCACAAGGGAAAGGATAGTGTCAGAAGAGACTCCATAAAGTTTCAGGATTGATCTGTGATCCAGTAAGTGTGCCGGGAGGAGGCAGTACCAGTACTTTCCCTGGAAAGCAGTGATCCCATTACACAGCCTTGCCCCSTCCTGGGGACTGGCCCTGGGCTGACGAGTGAGGTGCAGTTCTCCAGCCCATTCCTAAATCCAGAGCAGGTAAAGGGGAGTGTGTGTGGACAACCCAATGTCCAATACTAGTAGCTTCAAGGATGTTTTATATGGAAATTGGCCTGCAGGCCAATGTGACATTGTGCCCTCGCCCRTGAGAGAGGCAAGCCACAGCCGTGTAAGGGAGTACCGGGCAGAAGAGTGATGCTCTGCTGGGTGTTTTCCTGCTTATCAGGGAAATACCTTTCCTCTATGCAGTACAAAAGGAAGGGATCTACCAAGTTTTGCCATGACAAAAGAGATGGGATGGCCTTTTAAGTGTAGGGAACAAGAATAGAAACTGGAGTAAACYGGAATATAGTCTTACAGAATATCCATGTTTCTCAAGTGATTATGTTAACAAGTTCTCTTCACTTCTTTTTGCTTCCCCAATATTGTCTAGAAGGGTTGGAATCCTGCATTGCTTTTGTGAAGAGCTTTGGGGACACTTGTAAACCTTGAATTTGGGAATTGGTGCYGTTTCCAGAAGGCATGAGCTGTGCATGATACAGAAGTGCTTCTTGGTTCTTTGCAGGCAATAGAAGTTACGTCTCCAACAGCCGGGAGCATCCTGGTGGACCTGTCCCAGCTGCAGATGTTCCAGGTGTGCCGGGAGGTTTCTGTGAGAACAATGTCTCTGTATGGGGAGTCAGTGGATTCAGTTCCAGCTCAGATCTCCTCAGTCTTGCTGAGAGCCTCTCGTCATTCTTCACCTTCAGATTCTGCTGTTTCTACCAGTTTTACCTCTAGGCTGTCCTTTGGAGAATCCAGGGGTTCTCTGCCTGCGCGCAAACCACCCACACACCAGAGAGCTCCGCTCCTCCTGCGACAGAAAATTCCCCCTGATGGTTCAGATGCCAAATTGACTGATCTTGCCTCAAGCTGTGATGACTCAGCACAATCTCTGCTAGAGAAAGGCTCTTCACAGCAAAACCCCTCCTCTCCCAGTGGTTCCTTGGTGCAGGTTTCAGGCACTTCCTCAAAGGGTTCAGACACGGCACCAGACAAACTGTCTGTCCTTCCTCAGCAAGCTGGCAGCACAGGGCTCCCAAGCGAGGACACAGAGCCTCTATATCCAGGGGAAGCAGAATTGAAAGGCCCAGGTGAAGGAATGGAAGCACAGGTAAGTTCTTGCATTGTTCACCCCGAACCATGTGTGCTGGGAAGAAGAATTAGATCATCTGGGGAAATGGAGTGAAAACCYGTTGGCTGCCTCTCTCCAGTTGTGTTATTTCGTCCCCTTAGGGCTGTCTTCAGCAGCTGACAAACCCGACAGGGAGCATTGACTGCTCTTGTGTAGCTAGAGCAAGGTGAARCAGATGAACCTTGCTGCTTAGTCGCATGTGTGCAAGCAGAGCAAAAATAGGATCAAAAAAGCAAGAATTCAGCAGAGCTAGAAGATGAAAAGGATGTTTCTCCTGATGATGATGTCAATCTTAGTCCAGCATTGCCCAGTACTCTGGAGGAATCACTCCTCTGTTGACATGGCAGTGACAGGGAACTCRGAGGAGTACTTCAGTCCATTAAATCTGGTGCGACTTTGTTAGTGATGGCATTGTGAGTTTGCAAAGATGTGGATTTGGAGAAAAGGACAGGGTGACTTCTGGTAATTAAYGGAGCCTCTCTCGCTCATTTGCTGTCCATGGCACCTCAGTTGTGATTCATTTGCTTGGCATTTAGATGTCTAGGGTAAACGGCTGCATACGGGCAGGTCCTTCTGCCTCCTTTGTAGTYAGTGGAGAAAAATGGGAGCTTCTGGGAGACAAATTACCTTCTTTCTTGACATGTCTCTCTTCATTCTACGTCAAGAAAGRGAAATGGTGGAAAGAGTCTAATGGTCAGATTATGCATCTAGACCTAAACCTAGATCTAGATTGCCTGCCTTTAACCTAAGGTCATGAGGAATTTAGACTGCGCTGTCTAAATCTCCAGAGGCTCCATCCTGTAAATATTTTGAGTGTCTGGTAAGTAGAGGTCATGCTGCAGTGCAAAATGCAGTAGAGGTGACCACCTTTTTAAAGAAAGAGATGGTTGATAAAGAACCACCTGCCTTTCCTTCTTCACACCTTGGGATTCCATTCTTCCATCTCCCACAGGTTTCCCTAAACACCAGACTGAGTTGAATSATCGTCAAAGACAAACACTTCTAGGAAGGAGATCACAATTTGAAATTTCTTTGGTCCTACTACATAACCAAACCACCGATCTGTGTAGTTGTATGTAAATTCTCCATTAATAAATTCTCATTTTCTTCACCAGCTTCAATGAGTGCTGGGGTTGTGTCCTCACCTCCAGCTCAAGCTGAAAGCTGGTACTTAGGACATTCTTTTGGGATTCCTGAGGCGGGAACTGGCCTAATTACACATGTTGGGCTCATCTTGTCCTTGTTGCTTTAAAACTAGTTATTGCCGATATGCTTCTGTGGCTTCTGTGAGCCCCATATGGCAACGTGACCCACAATGTGGTGCACACCGTGATGCTGCTGTGGAAAGGCTGTGTGTCCCCTCGCAGCTACTGGCAGGGAGGAATTCATTCCRTAAGTGACCAGCCTTCCTGGCTACAAATTGAATGCAGAAGTCTTCATATGCCAAGAGGCCCAAGGTACATGGTGTTCCTATCAGAAAGTGGGGTGTGAAGAGGAGTGAAGGACCTTTCCATTCGGCGTCTTCCCCAAGTCTCATTGTCCCATGTCAAGAAGGGGCTAGATGGGGGACGAAGCAAAGTCCCAGGGCAGACTGGCATAATTGGCCTAAGAGATGATTGCAAGGAGACAGTGCTTGAACTTCTCATGTTGTCATTCATAGATCCTTCAGAGAGGAGCAGAAGTAGAGCACGCAGGAGAGGGCAGAGGAAAGGCTCTGTAGCAAATACCTTTTTTTTCCTGCTAATGAACATTTTTGGTTTCTTTTGCAGACGGAGCTCTCTGTGACCAGAGCACCAGAGCTGGAAAGTCAGTCCAACAGCAGTCGAAAGATACGTATGGAGACCTGCCATGCGTGCTCTGTGGAGGAGTCACCGAAAGGACCCAGTCCTGAAACAGAAGCGAGGGAGAAGCACTTGAGTCCGGAGCCTCTGCCCTCCTCCAGCCAGGCTGAAGGAGCAGAGAGCACTTCCCAAGACCCAAGCACAAGCGAGAGCGTCTGCCAGGAATTCCCAAGAGTGTCTCCTGTCAAGGAGGTGATGAAAGAAATCTCCAGAGGAGACTCTGGAATAGTGTCTAGAGTGAAGAGAGAGGTTTGTTTTACCCTTGAATTGCTGTCCAGGGAGGGATGTGAATTGGATCTGACAACACTGAGCTGCAGATAGGTTTCACGATCTTGGGCACACTGTTCTTCTCCTGCAGGCTATAAAGTCAGCCTGACAGGTAGAGGGGTGTGTGTGTGTGCATCACAGGCCTGTGAGACCCTGCACTGAGTGTTTTTCTCTATCTCACACACTTCAGCTGTGTGTATACTAGAGAGAGAAGGTGGAATGGCTGCTCTTCTGTTGCTGAAACAGAGAGAGCCTAGAGGTCTGAGTTTGCATTGCTGAAAATCTGTTCTGCTTTTCAATAGCAAGAAGAGAAAATGTCTGAAATGGGAAGGCGTCAGCTGGCCCTTTTTGCTGAGCACAACCGCAGTTCTGATCTCTCAGATATTTTGGAAGAGGAGGAAGAAGAGGAGCTGTCTTCAGAAGCGCTGGAAGAGAAGAAATGGAATGCCAGAGAGTCCTGTTACCAGGAAAATGGGGAAAAGGTAATTGCTGGCAGAGCAGTGCTTGTGGGGAGCGCCAGTGCAACCATTCCATGTCATCAGCTTGCAGGAGAAGGTGCCTGTGTGAGCCCAGCACTCTCAGCGAGGGGCCTGCCTGCCTCCTGCCCGCTCTGCTTTACCTCCCGGTGTTGTCTTAAGCCAGTAAAAACGCAAGTTCCTTGTGCGAGGGGAAGGTATTTAGATGTAATAAGTGTGTCGAGGGCTTAATTATCTGGAAAAACACAGAATGTAATGTGAACTTAAGTTCACATTACAGAACCCAGACTGAGAAATCAATGCCATTGATCTAATTCTTAATATAGATACAAACAGTGATCATATCTGTGAAGTTCAGCCATCTGTACGAGCCTCTGTCAACCCACCCTCCCTTCCAGTGTAAAACTAACATGTAATAGTCCTGCTGAATACACATAGCAGGGTAAACTATTCTGTTTACACCTTGGTGCTCAATTGTACAGAAGTGGTGTAGTGAGGAAGTGCTGATTAAGTTGAAATGTGAGTGAACATGGTCATTTGTGCTACAAGTTCAGACAGTTAAAGCTAGTGTATTATAACGCAGCTGCAACAGGAAGTTTGCTTAAAACTGCACGCCTGGAAAGTGGTACGTGACCATGTAAATTATAGCACTTGTGTGTGTAGGAGGAAGTATAACAGTTGAATAAGAATTTGGAAAGATGTGTAGGAAATACGACCTGGTTGCATCGCACAAGATTGTGCCAGCTCCTTCTGTGTGCTCCAAGAGCAGCTGTAATTCCCTGGTGCTGCTGTGTGTGGCTGCTGCCCTGCAGCACAGGGAGGGTGGCCCTGTTGAGCATTAATAGATCAGCAGCAGAAGGTGAGATGAATCGGGGGTGAATTTGCTGCCCCTTCTTTTCCCTTTGTGAAATGGATTTTTGCTGCCCTGGTGGAGAGGTTGGATTTGCAGTACAGTGTGTTGGGAGCCCAAGGAGAGGCCTCCTTCTCCAGCTGGAGCTGCTGAATCTGCCCAGGAAGGATGTACCAGAAAGGAGGTGTGGTTGTTGGGATTGTGCTGGAAAAATATAGGAAAGAAGCTCAGTTTCCCTGGGAGAAAAAACTAAAATAAGATGATGAGAACGGTCATTTTTCCACAGATATCTTATTGTCTTGGCCATTTTTTTTTTTCCTAGGGGGAAAAAATTACGTGTACCCTGGTGACTTGAGCAAAGTCTTTTTTCTTTATGTGCCAGAGTCTTGCTTTGTGCCCTGGCCCTGAACGCTTGAGGGAGCGAGGAGCCCGGTGTGACAGCAGGTGCTGCCTGGGGTGAAGGGCACCCGAGGGCAGGAGCCTCCCTGGTYCCGAGTTCCCTGTTCTGCTTTTGTGGCGAGAGGGGAGCCGCCAGCAGGAGGGGCCCGGCCTGCCTGGGCACAGCTGGGATTATGTCAAGTCTCCCCAGCTGAAGCCTTCAGGAGGTGTGGGATGAAGGGATGAAGGAGTGCTCATTGAAAACCATTCTGTGAAATATGTTGCTAGTGACTTTCTCCCTGATTATGAATGGTCGGCAGTCCCGTGTCCCCCTGACATTATAGAGGTTTACTGTCCTTCTCCCTTCCAAGCACACAGCAGTGGGTTTTTCATCACTTTACGGAATCCTTGGATCCATTTGTTTCAGTATAGAAGTCAAATTTGCCGAAATGCACTCGTAACTTGCTAGAAACCACTTATTAAATAATAAAAAAAAAATCCAGCAAAGCACACAGCTTTGTAGGTGGCTAAAATTGGTCTGACTGCATGCGTTTTGTAGTTTCATTGATAAATTCTGCATATGACTGTCTGGAAGTGGAGGCCTAACAAGATAGCCAGGGCGCAGAGGACATGTCCCGTGAATAAAGTTTGAGGAACCTGGACTTTGTTAGCCTGGAAAAACAGGAAGCTAAAGGTACAGTAGCTGCCTAAGAGTGTCTGAAGGATATATAAAGGTAAGAGAACCAAAGTCTTCCTGTAGTGGCAGCTGATGTAAAATGGGGCAGCAGCCCCAGGTTACTGCTTGGGAGGCTCATGTTGGAGGGGAGGGTGGGGTGGCCCCGAGACAGGTCTCTGGAGAGTCAGGGGACCTCCGTTCTTTGGAATTTTTTGCTGTTAATTTAGCAAGAGAAAAAACATAAGTTTTCCTGTTGGTAGAAGACAAACTTGAAAGTGGAACAGTGTTTTCTGGAAGAATTTTTTGTAGGCTCTTACCTTGTAAGTGGAATAGCTGCAAGTGGGGTACAAGTCCGTTGCAGTCCTTTGAGGTGAATGAGTTTCGTGTTTGTTCATGGCCGCTCTGTGTTCACCTGGATCTGCAAGCAGCAAGTGGGTCTTGGCAGCCCAGAAGGGACTGGGGAAGGGCCTCCCACAGCAGCAGCGTCTCCAGTGGGGGCTGCTGCCACCTCCTTCTGGTGCGGTGCAAGGACACGGAAGGATGAGGGAGGACAGTGGGGTCCTGGTGTGAGCACGAGCTGGGTGGTGTCTATACGTTGTTCCTTCTGGAGGGAGGAACMTTTAATCATCCTTAATACCCGGTGAGCAGCTGTGGAGGAACTGTGCTGGTCCTGCCCCATCATCCCGAGCCAGGATGCTGAAGCTGCGGGCAGTGCACTGGGCAGGATAAAAGGCGCTGCAGAGGTAGTGAGTGCAGAGGGAGAGGCTGGGAGAGCTGCTCCATGCATTGGTCTTTCTCGCTTTCACTGCATTGCTAGCTCATCTTGCCAGAAGAATCATTGCTGCCTTTTGCTTCCTACCCTTGCTTCTCTGCAGACCACAGTCTCCGCTCCATCCTGCTCTGCTGGGAGGGAATCGGCTGTAACGTTGTCTCTCTTTTTAATGTTTATTTCCTCTCTTTTTTCCTTTGCTTGTCCTGGCTGTGGCTTTTCTCGGGGGCTGGGTGCAGATGGATCTTTGTGATACAGACAGCGATGAGGAGATTCTGGAGAGGATAYTAGAGCTCCCGCTTCAGAAGAACCACAGCAAAAAGTTGTTTAGCATCCCAGAAGTGACTGAGGATGAGGAGGAAGATGAAGATGAGAAGTGTGTTCTGGATGAAAAGGCAGAGCCTCAGAAATCCGTGGAAAGACCTACTCGCCGTGCAGGGATGACAGAGAAGCCGGTTGGCCCCCAGGAGCCATTTCTAAAGCCAGGCGGCAGGGATGACTCCCCAGCTCTGCCCGCTCAGGCTCCGCAGGCGGAACCCGCTGTGAGGGAGAGCGGAGGGGATGCTGACCAGGAGATCCCTGCCTTTGGGCAGCTCGCCGGCAACCCCAAAAGGCCAAGCTGGACCTGGGCCTACCAGGAGAGCGATCTGAGGTCTGTGAGTGGGGCAAGTCCCTCTCGGAGCAAGAAGARGGGAAATAATCACAGAGAGAGGAGCCGGAGTCGGCCCGAGATGGGTAGGAAGAAGCAGAGCGATTTCACCGAGCACTGCAGTCGGCTGGGCAACTGCAGCCAGATGGGAAGCGGCCTGTACCGAGCTCCCAGCGTCAGGGAAGATCTGAACATTGTGAGCAGTGCTGCTGGCAAGGAGGCCTTCGATGCCTTCAGTCGCGCCAGACAGGGCGCCTCACGAAACAAACCTAGGAAGGCAGCACTTTCAGGTCTTGCAGCAGCTCCTGTGGTGGCAGCGCACTGCTCCAGCCCCAAGAGCCTGGAAATAGATATTGAATATGACTCAGAAGATGAGCAGGATTCGATCTGCGCATCGCCCCCGGAGAGCAGGCCATGGCCAGATGGCAGAGCAGAAGGATCTCCGAGCTGCCAGGGCGAGTGGAGCGATTGTTCCAGTCAGTCTGAGGTTGCCCACGTTGGGGGCAGAAGGGACCTGACCAGCCGGGAGATGGTTGAAGAACAGGGTATGGAGTGGGCTGGGTCTCCGAGCAGTCGCCTGCGATTCCTCTGCCGGGATAAGGAAGTGCTGAGGTGTGAGAGCAGCTCTGAGGAGCAGGGCTGGGAGTTGGACTGTAAGTCACCTGGCCGGAGAAGGAGGCTTGACCATCCTTGGAAGGGGATACGTAGCACCTCCTTGCACAAAAGGGTTGGGTGACTTTTCCTATTCTGGCTTTGAAGCAGCTTGTAGTGGCGTTAGCTTTCCTTCTGCTTCCCCGGCCTGCCTGTATCTTGCTTTGTTCAGTGTTGTTCAGAGAAGGGACTGTCCTCTAGGATTGTCCAGAAGAATATCTGGGAGCGTCCATAGTTCTGTGCTGCTCTGTGGCTTTTCTCGTATGAGCTGCTTCTGCTTTTCCTGCTAAAAGGCCGAGTGTCACCGATGCAGTATTCCTTTTCACACTGGGTCTTCCTCCCTATGGCAGGAGGCTGGTACCCAAATGAAAACTCCTAGTGATTTGTGAAAGCTCTGTGTGGACAATGACTGTAATGTCATTGCCTCCCCTTGAAATGCCCTTTCCTGCTTCCTCATGCTCGTCACGTGTTTCTGGCAAGGTGCCTGCTCGTATTTGTTTGGGTCTGTTTTCCGACTCCCGTGGTGTTTTCGGCTCTAGAGTGTCCCCGAAGAGGAATGTTGCATTTGGATGCGCTGCTCTTTTGTGGAGTGCCTATGGGCTGAGCGGTGTTCACCCGGGTTGGAAGGCGGAGGCTGCTACTAACTCTCTGGTCGTTCCTGTTACAGGCRTCTGGTCATAAAGAGCCTAGGGGCCAGGAGCTGCCTGGCTCAGCCGCCTGGCAGGCTCCCAGCAGAAGGAGGAGCAGGAGCGTAAGAAGAAGCCAAATGCAGAAACCTTTGCTCTCTAGTCCAGGTAAGCGGGCAAAGGGGAAAGGAGGCAGCAGGAGAAAGGGAGGCTGTTGGAAATTTCCTGGGAGAGGCTGGTMGGCAAGTCAGGGATACCCGGGAAATGGTGTTAATATTCTCTCGGGTATATCCCTGCCTACACACAGGACCTCCAAGGATCGTGGCTTCAGAAACCGCTGTTGAAGATGATGCCATTAGGATATTTGTGGCCCTCTTTGACTATGATCCTGTTTCTATGTCTCCTAATCCTGATGCGGCGGAAGAGGAACTCCCATTTAAGGAGGGTCAGATCCTCAAGGTAAGAACATACTTTGACGAACATCATCTGCGTATGGAGCCATCTCATGTTCCAGAGACAGCTGAAACTTGGATGCAGAACTCCTTTATTTGGGGAGTTTCCTTAGCTTCCTCCTTCTATTCTGTTTCTCTACATTTGGTCCGTGTAGCATAACCTGGTCTCGGGCCTTTCTTTTTCCTTGCAGGTGTGTGGAGACAAGGATGCTGATGGCTTTTACAGGGGTGAATGTGCAGGAAGGGAAGGCTACATCCCCTGCAACATGGTATCTGAAGTCCAGGTGGAGAATAACGAAGTCAAGAGGCAGCTCTTAAAGCAAGGATTCCTTGTTGCAGACACGCCGATGGAGAGTGTAGGTACTGTATCTCCTTYACATGCGTGCTGTGCTCTTGCCAGCTGTTTCTTCCCTGAAACGAGGCAAACCTCAGCAGTGCTGTCAAGTCATGTGCTTTGTGGCTATGTGATTTCTGGTAGATTCGTGTCCCTCTCCTGCGCTAATGTCCAGGAAGAAGTTTTGAACGAGGCTTTTTCCACACTTGACTCGTTTCTCCTGTGTATATCCAAGAGTCTCCACTGGTGGCTAGATGCCTGTGGTGGCCCTTGCCCTGGGGAAACATGAAAGGCCGCCTGTACTTTGCCCTGCTGCCTGCTTTCAGAAGCATAAAGGAGTTGRATAGCTCTGAGATTTTGTGAAATATAGTGGATCTGAAAATGACCAGGCGGGTTTTGAAAATTTGAAAATTTTGAAAATGATCAGGTGGGTTTTTCCTGCTGCCTGTGTAGAGCTGTATTACGGTCTCATAACCAAGGAGTGCTGTGGAGGGATTGGCCTTGAGCTGCTCTCCTCTCATTGCTCATGAACTCAGGGGCACTCTCGGGCATCTGGCTGTAGAGCTCTGCAGCGTGCACGAGCAACGAGCTTTGAGGTGGGGACAGTTTATAGTGCTTTGTAGCAGGAGGAGGAGAGAATTAAATTGAAATTCATTTATTCCTGTGTTTTATGACTAGACACAGAGGTGTTTTGACTAGAGCAGATCTCTTCCTGTGGGGATTGTTAAGTGTTGAAATAGAGACCAAAGAAGGATGAGAATTTGTGTCCATGGAGGTTTTCATGACCCAACCAGACAAACCCCTGAGCAACCTGGTCTGAAATCAATATTGGCTCTGCTCTGTGCAGAAGCTTGAATGAGAGACCGCGTTTCCCACCTGAGTGATTAGGCAGGGCGTGTTTCCTATGGCATTTTTCAGATGTTGATGGTGTAAGGTTTTCGTTTACCCTTATGCTGCTGAAAGGTAAAATGCAGGGAAGTAAAGAAATTGTCTGGTGTACGCTGTGGTATTACTGATGGGCATAAACATACTGTGGATTTATGTGTATTAGGACAGAAATGACACATGTGACATGTGGATCATGCCACATCTGAGCCCCCGTATGAGAGATGGAGATTGGGCCTTTGCCACAGCCCCTGCTTCCCAGGGGAAGCGTGTCGTGCTGCTCTGTTGCCTGTTCACTCTTCAAGAGGCTTCTCACTTTCCGTTCACTGTCTGTTTCTCTTGTCTATTTATTTGCTTTTTTTGGATTTTATTAAGGAAATGGCACATTTTCTCCACCTCCACGCCGCCAAACCGTCCCTCCTCCAAAACCCAGACGCTCCAAGAAAGGTCTGTGTCGCCCGCCGCTTCCTCTATGATTTTGGCAGTAGGATTGCAGAGTGCATTGAATTTTCCCTACTTGCTTCCCAGGCCCTCAGGTGTTTGTCCCTGCTAGGAAGTGGGAAGAGACCCCATCCTTTTTGGTCAAGCGGCCTTGCTCCATAGCACAAACCTGGCTCCACTGTTAGAAGTTTTTGAGGATAACGATGTCTTCTATAGTTTTGGAGCTTGACCTCTACTTCCTGTTAGGTCCCTAAGTCATGGTAACTGGCACAGACTTTGAGTTGCATGAATGGTTTACGTTTGTTGTTTGCTACTTTGGTCTTTGTTCTTTTTATTGTTGCTTCTGGCTTGTCTGATGCCTGCGTTGTTGAGAGATGAACTGTGTGTTCACTGACAATGTGTTTGCTTCCCCTAACAGAGCTGAATAAACAGGAGAAGTACAAATCTCATTCAGGTACGAATTGCTCCTTGCTGTTTGAGAAAGGCATGTTACATAGACGTGATCRTAAGACACACGAGTGCTTTGTGGTCCTGGCCTGAGGCTAAGGGCCAAGGCAAGACCCTGTAGTCCTCTAAAGCATTGGAAGAAATAGAGGGCTTTGGCTCATGCAGTTTAGCAGGGGGTGCGGTGGCTTTTGGCTAAACCTCTGCAGACAGAGGTTTTGCTCAGGGAGGTCTCTTGCTGATTTAATGCCACAGTCCTTGAAATCTAAGATCACTTACAGGGTGAAATGGAAGAGTTTTTTTGGTGGGTTTTTTTTTTTTTTTTTTTTTTTTTTTTTTTTTCTTTTTTTTCTGTGCTCTCTGCTTAGGTGCACAGTCATCCCTTGGGGTCAGGAAACACCAACCCCATTCCTAAGGGAAACCTTGCTTCCCCCTAAGAACCCCTTACAAACCCCTCCCCAGCCCACCCAGTTTTAGCCTGATGCAAGGATTAAATCCATAAGATGAAGGACTGGACAATTTGTACTTTCTGTAGTGCCAAACTTTTTCTTTTGTAGACTGCCTGTGGCAACAAAGCCCAGCAAGCAGGTAGTTGTGATACAAAAGAGCTTTCTGTGGTCTTCAAGGTCCTCCCTCCATCTGTCTGTCTCAGCTCAGTGCTTCTGTGGCCAGGTCGCTGGTTGGCGTGGTTTTGTGCTCTTGCTTCTCCCCTGGCACTTGGAGGATAGATTTTGTAGCTCAGTAATATAGTGGTGCCTGAAAGGACAAGAAATGTCCCTCCGAGGCCCGTCAGAGCTAAGGGTTGGCAGGAGACTGTTGCTGGGTGGGTGATTCTTCAGCACAGGCAGGACACCATGGTGCTGGAGCAGGAAGATATCCCAAGTCTGGTGCTTGTAAATCCATGCAAGAGAGCAAAAAACTGCTTTCCGGGTGTGTCTGGATGCTGGATATATCCTGTGATACAGGATAAGAACAGTGAAGGATTTGCTCTGACTCAGAATTTTCTCGCAGAATTCCCCGCTCAAGTTATTCTGTTTTATTTGTGACCTGCAGAACATAAGCGGCAGGATTTTGAAGCTGAACTGCTCCCTGCTCGCAGTATGGTGGCTGTGTTTGACTACAACCCCAAGGAGAGCTCTCCAAATGCAGATGTAGAGGTAACCACCAGCTGCTCATTCCTCTCCCAGATTTCTTTCTCTCACTCTCTTTTTTTTCCCTCTTATTTTATCCTATGACACTTAGTGCCTCGGTCATAACCTACAGAGTAAAAACTCAAAAAAACCACTGATGGAAGGAATTGGCTAAAGTTATGAAACACAGGGTTTGTTTGTATGTTCTTTCATGCATTTTCTGGTGTGTTCAGTTACCTGTGAAGAACATGAAACGTGTATATTCCTAATTATTTTCAGCRTATGTATCTCAGTTAAACCACTCGAAAAGCCAACTCGTGTTCTCCAAAGTATTTTCCTGTAGCTCTAGTAGAAGCTTAGGCTGTTTTCCAGCTTCCTTTATTCTTCAACCCATCAGAACTGGGAAGGAATCTTTTCTGTAAGGTTACCTAAATAAAAACATGCCCTGTTTTCACCTTCCCAGTGAATGGAGCTCAAATTATTGAGACAAGCCGCTGCAGTTCTGTTGCACTGCTGGAAATGCCCTCCTGCTCACACTGCCAGAAAATCTGGTCACCTTGTTTTGCTCTGCAAGCTGCAGCTGCTGTTTGCGAGCTGCCCCCAGGCAGTTCTGTGAAGGAACTTCCCTAGAAGCTTCTTTCCGCTGGAACTGAGTAATTCATGTCCGGCAGTAGGAACCTGTCACCTCGGGAGAGAAACTAATCATTAGAGACCAACTATAAGACCTGCCCAAAGATCTCTAGAGGTTTGTTCCAGCCAACACTTCTGTGATTTTGTTAAGTCCCTGTAAAGCCAGACTGGCTGAGGTGGGACTTGTCCAGTACCTCTTTGTTCTGCCTCTTTGCAAACTCACCCTTTCTRTCCTAGAAAAGCTGCCTCAGCATAACTGAGGGGTCTCATTCATTGGATGCTTTGGCCTGGATCTTATGCTCCGTGGAGTGCAGGCAGGGTTGACAGCAGGGATGGATGGATCTGTTGGGGAAGGGTTGTTTGCTTGGGCAGTAGTGTTCTTTTCTCAGGCCAAGTCTCTCTGTTTTGTGTGGGTTCCTGCTAGTCTCTGATGCCTGAGCATAGCAGGCAGAATAGTCTCGTGTGAAGGGAAGGGGATTGTGTGTGGTACTTGGAGAAACATAAGGTATTTCTGGTGCCTGATCAGGTTGTGTTCAAAACGCCTTTCCTGGACAGGTGGTAGGCATCATTTTAGTGCTTGATCTAARTTGTTTTGGGAGTGAGGCTTTGCTCTTAACTTGTGAAATGCTTTGCACTGCATTTCATAATGTCCCACTGAACATCCTATTCTGCATCCTGGGCCTGCAAATCCCAACACGGTGGCTTCTCTTGCTCACAGTGAGATCTTGCAAGCAGTCCTGGCTAAACTTGTGTTTCTGATGAGAAATTCCAGACATTGCCCCTCCTGTAATTATTCTCTTGCTTTTTTTTTTTTGTAGGCTGAACTGACTTTCAGTGCAGGGGATATCATCACGGTGTTTGGATCTATGGATGATGACGGATTCTATTACGTAAGTGCCAGTGTCAGGAAGATCCAGGTGCTGCATCTGGAGTAGTTGGAGTCCATCTASTGGCAAAAGAGCAGAAGTGAGGGGATGAATATTCTGTTTGTGGAACAAGTGAGCATATTGCCACTTACTGCAGGGCAGGTTGTTTGTTGCAGTCTCCTCTTCTAAATCCAATATTCAAACCATTCTGAGGGTTTTTGTTTGGTTGKTTTTTTCTCCTTTACATAACTTCACTGTAGGGATCCTGAACCCTCGGATGCATCTTACTGCACATGTATCAGCTGCGTCAGCAATTGCTACGAGCAGATTTGTTACCAGGGTCTCTGACACATGGGAATTATCCAGGGCAGGAGAAATGTAAGAGAAAAAAAAAAAGTGCCAACCCTTATCCCACCACATTTCAGCATGTCAACTTTTATCAGTTTAATTTCCTGTGGATACCTGGGGGCTCTGCCTGCCAGTGAGCTATGTTGTGCAGGATTCTTAGTTCTTGGATCAACCATCTTTTCCTGGAAAGAAAGCAGTTGAGTTTCACCTCCAAGTGAAGTCTGGAGGGATTATTGTGAATGTCTTGTTTGATGCAATACTGTGAAAGAAGTCAATAAAGTTGGTTTTTATCACCCAATCACTTGTGGATGGACTGGAGACAGATTTTTAAAGAGAAACTGCAAAGCTGGTTTGTATTCTCGAGATGTCAGTGTGAGTAGAGAGAATGCTACAGGACAATTGTACCAGTAATACCTCAGTCTTTAAACAAAACAGAAAAGAAAGATAGAAAAAGACAAAAGAAAGATCAAGGCAMAGCAAAGGCCCTTAGTCAGTCTGTGCCACAATCTAGTTCTAGTTGCTTCCAGCTTATCAGTGATTTTTTTTTTTGAATTTGTAGAGTGTGAATAGAGTTAGTAATTTAGAACTAAGAAGTTTCTGAAGCACCAAAAGTTCCACAGGAACTTTTAAGGAGAAAGTTCTTAACAGTGAGGGTGACAGAGCCCTGGAACAGGCTGCCCAGAGAGGTTGGGGAGTCTCCTCTGGAGATCTTCAAAACCTGCTTGGACGCAGCCTGTGCTACCTGCTCTAGGTGACCCTGCGTGTGCAGGTGGTTGGTGTAGATGACCTCTGGAGGTCCCTTCCAACCTTAAGGATTCTGTGATTCTGTGAACTAAGTGGTCTGCATTTTGCAATACATTTATCATTGCCTGTTGTCATCTTCTGCTGCTGTACTCTGCTTCTGATTGCTTTTTGTGTTCTAAATTGTTCCACAACTAAGCAAGGATGCAGGTGAAATTTGCTGAAGATCCTTCCACCATGAATGTGTGCTTGGGCCCTAGATTCTCTCAGGCTTTAGCCCTCTCTGTGGGGCTGCACCTTTATCTGTCTTGGTGAGCCAGAAAACCTGATGTGGGAATTGATTGTTGATCCTGCAGGGAGAATTGAACCAACAGAGAGGGCTCGTCCCGTCCAACTTCTTGGAAGCCGTAACTTTGGAAGAAGGCACAACCGAGGAACTTCATTCAAAAGAGAAGGAGACTCTTCCACATAGTGCTGAGAGCCAGGTGAGTTGGCGTGACCCTGTGCAGTACAGACAGCTAAGCTGTGACGTGGCTGGGGCCTGCAGAGCAGGGGGCCATGCAGCATGCTGCATCTGCCAGAACCGTTTCAAATACTGCATGCAGCTGGGTGAAAGCTCACAGGTTTAGATAGGAGAGCGAGGAGCTCTTGTTAAGGACTTACCTATAATGCAAGAAAAAACGTGAAGCAACAATTTGCTGGGGCCTCAAGCCTCCTTGTGGTGAGGTGATCAAAAAGTTTCTGAGGTCCCACCAGCAAATTCTTTACATACAAGCCRACATCACTGATCACTGCTGGACCTCCATGCTATGTTGTTGCGGAGAGTGGGATGCAGGGAGGTCCCAGCTTGATCGTGGCTCATAAGTACTCATCTTTCAACCGTCAGGTTTTCTTGCAAAGTTATTGACACAGTCAAATGATGCCAGATCCAAAGAAATGTCGAACAGCAGGTCCAGCTTGGCTCCAAGCTGGTCTTTAAGCGAATATGTGGCCCTGAATCCTCCAYTGCAGAGCTTCCTGCTGCTGTCACCCTCGCTTTTCTGCTGTCTGCACCTTTTCTCTTGCTTTTCATGCTCAGCCTCTGCTTTTCTCTGTACTTGCCTCCCATCTTTCTGTATTTAAGTGCTTCCTGACCTCCTTCAGATACCTCCTTCAGGCAGCCTTGTCTCTTCCAGGTATTTTGAGCTTTGTGGGTGCAGCCTCTGTGCCTTCCTATGGAAAGAACATGACAGGCCTGAATTGGACAGAAAATTCACAGATAGTTTTGTGGATCCTCTTCCAAACCTGGCAGTGCCTTGTGCTTWCCTGTCTAGGACCTTTGCTAGCGGTCCCTTTGCTCTTAGCTTGTAAGGGATGGTCCACGCTGGGGCACCCCAGGTCCATGCTATGGCACCACAGAGTTTAACTAAGGCCCTGAGGTTTCGCAAGTCTAACTTCTTGATAGAAACAGGTTTTCAGAGTGGAACTCCTCCTCCAGTTTCCTTCTCAACATGATTTACTCTTCTCAAATTGCACATTTATCAGAGCAGAGGGTGCCCAAGGAGACCTGTAGTGGTACAATTATAACTGTTAGAATTCAACTTATTAAAGATCTAGCCCTTTTCTCCAGGACTGACTGGCAACAAAATGACCCATTTCGCATGTCAGGAGTCACTCTTCCATGGCAAGCCTGCATTCTCCTGGAAAATCTTGGGAAATTGAGCCAAGCTCTAGGGCAACAAGTTGGTCCTGCCACTTGCAAATGTGAAGCATGTGGTTTAGTAAATGGTATTCAATGAAATGAGGAAAAGGGAAACCCAGAAGAGTTTTTAACAGGATCACATGCACTGCAAATCTACCCCTACTTGAATTATACATCTTTGCATTCCTCTCTGCYGGTTCCTTGGTAAAGAAACTGTGGTGCCAGTTTGGCCGTGTCCCGCAGCAGTGTCCCRGGCCCTCCTGGTTAAGAAGACCCTGTCTCACCTGCTTCTGCATGGGGAGCAYGAGCTGCTCCTGCTCCCTACTCCACAGGTTACTGCAGCTCCCCTTGCCTCTGCCCTCTCCACTGCTCCGGCATTCAGGAAAAGGGGGACCGTTCCCCCGAGATGCATCCGTTTGGCCTGGATATCCCTTGTTCCAAGCTTGCCTGTCCTTCAGTTCTTTCCATTTGTCTCCCCCTGCCTCTGCCAGAGGTCCACAGAGCCCCCACTCACCTTGGCTCTTGGAACCTGCAGAGCAGGAAGCTCTCTCTTAGGTCAGGATCAATTTGGTGGTTCTCGTCTTGACTGATCCGTGAGCTTCTTTGTAGTCTGTGAAGTCTGAAGACTTGGAGAATTTGGTTGTTGATCATTAAGCCCATTTTATTTCAGTGGGAATCCATGTCCACTCTCTAGGCCTGACTTCTCTTTCCCCACCCCGTCTTGGTGCCCAGTTGTGTGTAATGCCAGGCTCCCACGCTCAGCCCCTCTTGCTGCTGCTTTACTGCACCTGGATGTTTCCCCTGAGTGATTCTAACTTAGCAATGTGTAGTCCTGCCTCCTTGTGCTTTGCAATCCAAGTCTGTCTAAACAGCCTCCACATGAGAAGGGTATCATTGCCCCCTTTTAACCAAGCCTGTGTTAGTTAACTAGATTTAACTATGTTTAGTGAATGCCAAAGGGAAGCAGAACCTGATCCCCCTTTATCTGGGGCTCTGTTACAGCTTCCTGAGCCCTAAGGAGAACATCTGATGGGTAAAGCAGGAGGAATATGTCCTTCTGTTTAAAAACAAAAAACAAAAACAAAACAATTTTAAGAGCCAGCCCTGACACTCTACTGACAGCAGTACAGCTATGTCTGGAATTTTCCAGACTCCAGGGACCATACCCACTTGTGTAGAGTTTAGGAGCTTGCTAGGTAGAGTGTGCTGCTGGCATATCTAGGCACGACACGGGGGTGAATGGCTTGCTGGAGAGGGATGAGTTCTCACCTTTGCTGCTGCTGTTTTCTAAGGGGAGGGGGGCATTTGTCAGCAGTTGGGGTGTGCAGAACATCAGCAAAAGCAAAAATGCATGGCAGCCTGCGGAGAAGTGCTGCTGGGATCTTCTGAAAGACAGCATGAGAAGTGCTCTTCCATCAAAGTTACTAACCCCAGCCTGAGACCTAACCAGTCAAGGAGCATGTGTGTGCACCATGATGTCATGGCAGAGCTTTGGGCTGTACCAAGGTTAGCTCTAATCTTAAGCTTCTCCAGCATGATCATGAGTGATTTTCAAATCGCTTGTAACTTCTTGGATTTAAAATTTCAACCCAATTTGTTTTCTTCCCACTCCCTTCCCCCTGCTGTTTTGTCAAAGACCTATGAAAGGGGCAGCTCACTTTCCAAATTGACCTGGGAAAGRGTGGTGGGTCAGAATGATTTGTATGTCTTAAAATGCTGGAAACCGGAAACGAAGAAGAGATTTAAATTTCAAAGTAGCAGCACTTGGGGATTAAGCTGAACGATGAAAGATGCAGCCCAAAGAGGACTATCCAAGAAGTTATGATCGCAAGCGAGGGCACCGAAACACTCATGTTCACTAACACAAAGCAGTCGTTTTAAAGCTGTGACTTTGGAATGAATATTTTTGCATCAGTAATATGCAGTTTATCTCAAAGACTGATTGTAAAGCACCTTTAGAAAGTATTCAATTCTAATTGATTTCATGTATTTATTTCTGCCTATATTATGCACCCCTGGCGGTTATTTTCTTCAGAGAATGAGGAAGAGAAGAGTCCAGTGATAGATATGAATGATACATAGAGAGAGAGAGCAACCATGTAAGTTCGTGTGAGAAGACCTCTTCATCTCCCACCTAGCCTAGCACGTTGAAGGCTCCTGCTCCTGCAGTTCACTCCTCTTCTTGCCTCTAGTTTGACTGTCTGGCTTGGGGCTCCGCTAGCAAGTCCAGCCGCAGGTCACCTCAAGGCAGATCTTTGCCTGCCAAACTGGGTCTCCGTTACAGAGAAACCACAGTCTGTTCAGCACATGAAGTGCAACTGTTTGGAACAATCATCTGGCGGTTTTGGGGACTGTGAATGGGGTGCAGGTGTTCTGGGTGTTTAGGTTTAGTCCCTAAAACTGACCCTGTGTGGATAATTGTTCTGTCTGACAGCACTTAACAGCTTCAGGGGTGGGGGGTGAGACCCCTGCTTTTGGGGAAAGGGGTGGGAGACGTGTGTTTTTCTTACCTTCAAGCACTCTGTTATTCTTAAACTTTGCAAATAATAATAATAATACCTGAGGAAGCACTGAAACCCCCTCCCAAAACATGATCTTCTGTTTGTAAACCATAAGAGCTGTTATCAGGATCTTGCCAGAGCATTATTTTTTTTCGCTAGGGAAGAAACCCTAATTTTAATATCATTTGTCTCTTACCAGATGAATCTGTGACCTGGTTCTGTTGCTTTTCTGCTGTCGTACAGCAACCTCTGAGAATATCTGTACAAGTTTATGTGTGAGGGTGCCTGCGCGTGTGGAAATCTGCTGGGCATCATGTACTACAGCTTGGAATCAGAGGGGCTTGCAACCACAGAGATAGAAAACTACTGGTTATTTACTTTTGGCTGCTTGGTAGCAATGTTAATACTGTGGTATCCCTATCACGGTAAATAATTGCAACCTTTGTGATTTGGTCTCGTTTTCCTGCATCTCGTTTTCCATGCAGTTTTCATGCCTCTCTAAAGGAGGAATTGTAGCAGTTCTGCTGGGCCGCTTCAGATTTGCCCTCAGGCTTCCCCCCTTTGCCAGAGGGTTGGTTTGCAGCAGTGTGTGGACGCAGGGCCTCGGCCACGCTGCCCGTGCGGGACCCTTCGCACCCCTCCCGCGTCCTGCGGGGCTGCTGAGCCAGGGGCCCGGGGCCCAACGTTGCTGCAGGGAGAGTTCCCTGGGGAGATCCCTCACTGCACGCTGGCGAGAGCCCTTCTGATGTTAACTTGGTGCTTCCGTGCATTTTATCCAAGGATGTTGCATAATGCATGAATAGCACCTGGACCCATGCCCAGGGTTTCTTATCTTTTGCAAAATACCTAACCCAAATTAGCCCGTATCTGACTTTTTCTTTCTACCTCCATAAATCTTCCATTGCTGACTGAAAATGGCTCATTACCGGCTTTATTTCCAGAATTCCCAGACTTGTCTAGTACCTGTGCCACCAGCSCCAATGTTGTGCCGAGCAGAAGTGGCAGTTGTGGTGTGGCAGTGCTGCAGGGAGCTGCGGGCATTGCTGCAGGTAACGCAGCTCTGCTGGAGGACTGCAGCGTGCATGCAGAGCGTGCACCCGCCAGGGCCAGGCTGCACGGCCAGCCTGTCCCTAGCAGGCAGGGCAGACACAGGAGCACTGCACACCTGGAGAAACATACAAGTCTTCTGAAAGAGTGAGGACAAGACTGCCAGGTGGAAATAGAGGACAGGATTAGGAAAAATCAGCCACCATCCTGGTCGCTGTGAAGAGGAGAGATGTCTGAGTAGTCCAAAGCCTTAGGCAAGAAGCAGTCTGGTGACACTGCTGCTTGGGTAATTTTAAAGTAATTTGTTGACCCTCAGCTGTCTGGAATTGGGAGGAGAGAGGTTCCACACAAAACCAGAGTATTTTCTAAGTGCTTTATTCTGAGCTGCTCAAGATTGATTTTAATTTCATACATATTGCACCAACTGTGGCTTTGAGCTGTCTTTCTAGAGGTTCCTGCTTATCTTGTATTAACTACTTTTAATTAGAAAATTACTTTTTTCCCCCTATAAAACCAGAATTACTTTTTTTTTTTTTCCTAAAAAGAATGAAATGACTGCCTCTGAAGTAGACCTAAGTGGCCTTTGAGGTGAAGAGAGATCATAGCTACTTTTTGCGCCCTTCTCCACATAGGGGATAGGGTGCTGAACGCGCAGTGGGTAGTAASGCAGTGCTGCACTTTGCTTTCAACCCCAGGAAGATTCAAAGAAATGACCGCAGTGAGGATAAAGCTAGGCTCTGTCACAGCAACGTGACCTCTCTGCAGCTGCTTGATTGTGAGGAGCAGCACGCGGCCCCGACCGGAGCGTGTCCCTCCGTGCCAGGGAAGCGCACGTGGCTGCTGCTGTGCGTCTGGGCGCAGCTCGTGTGCAGGGCTGCAGGTGAAGAGCTGTGGGCACCAGGCACTTGCCTCTCCCTGCCCTGGTGGCCCCCAGGCACAGAGCCAGGGAGGGCCGTGATGTTTCTGCCAAGGCAGAACCCTCGGCACAGCGGCAGCCCCTGCCACGGTGTGGTCTGGACAGTAACAAGACAGCATATACAGCAGGAAGCTGAGAAGGCCGTTTATTCTGGTGGCACACTGAGGCTGTTTGGGAAAAGCTGTGTGGAAGAGAACACAGTGGGACAAGGGTTCTTTGACACCCCACAACCCAGGACATCTTCCCTGGCAAGCCRTGCAGCTTCCTGGGAAGGCGCACGTGTTCAGACCGCTGTCCCTGTGGCTAAAGCCAGTGAGAGCAGCTCTCAGGGAGAAGGCTGCTGCTGGGGCTGCCCTGTCTCTAACWTGCTGTGAAGGAGGAGCTGAGGTGAGGGCCATGTTCCAACTTCAGAAGGCTCTTCCAAAAGGAATGGGGTACAGTGGCTCATTTGAACTGTGGATCCCAGGTGATATTCTAGACCATTTGGATAACTTAGGCTTATAAGTAAGCTTCCCTCCTTGAACATATGAAGGTGTTGCCTAGCCCTGCTCTTTATTTCCTCCTAAAGGCTGGTTTTCCGTCTTACTACATACTGGGAACACACGGGTTTCTCCCTGGCTTCTGGCAGCCAGCAGGACTGCTTGGATATTTCCAGAGTAGTCTGCTGGATCCATGTGACAAAGCTGCTGGTGTCTTTCTCTCCTGCCTCTTAGGAGGTGATCAAGCTATCACTTCYTCAGCTGTGAAGCCATGGCTTTTAATAAGTCCTGGCTGGGCACTTTCCTGCTATACTGTTCTGAGTCCAAAGTGTGGAAGAAAATTGGGAATGTCTGAGCTCAGGCAGGGTCTGGATGGGGGATAAATCCTTTGCAAGCTTCCTAACCGAATCGGCAGTTGCACACAGACTGACAGGGAGAAGGCGGGATTCTCTTGTTGAGGTTTATGTTGACATAACATCCTTATTTGTCTCTAAACTATATTTCTGTTTTTCTTTTGTTGTCTCTTTTCTTACTTAGTTCAATCCAGATGGGTCTATTGACCAGAGAGACTTCTCGCCAACTCCTCCTGCTGTACCACCCTCCTGCCTTCTCATGGACGAGCAGCGTCCAGAGCAGGCACCACTGGCACTTCTCAAATGCACTGATTTACCTGGTCAGAGTAAAAGGAAGAGARGCTTCTTCTTCAAAGGAAAAAAGCTCTTCAAAAAACTCGGGTCCAGTAAGAAGAATTAACATGGGATTTGATGCTTTCTGTAAGTTGTCTGTGCAACCCACACAGGCACTGGAAATTCAGGAGAAGCCCTCTGCAATAAGCTTATTARAGTATTTTCATAGGGAAAGAGTATATGTTGAATAGAGAAAACGCCTGGGTGGGCCTGCAAGCCGTGGTCTCTGCTGAAAGCCCACCCAGCACAGGCAGTGTCTGTGGACACAGTTTCATGGCACTGGGGGGTGTGAGGCCTCAGCTCTAGGATACAGCTACCTCCACAGTAGTGTGTCCTGCTCCATGCAGCCCTCAATGCACCCCTTCCCTGTAAATATTTTAATTTAAAAAATGGTATCCTGGCTGTAACTTTAGCTAAATGGCTTTTCCCAGCAAAACCCAAGCCCCTTAGGAAAAGCCCCCCTTGTGCTACTCACCCGGTATCACTGGTCCAAAGGAGATTGTCTTGACTCCACTTCCCTCAGAGAACATTTGCACTCTTCTGTTCCCATGAACCCCCTTTGCTGTCTCTGGGCTGACGAGTGAGTTCTTTGTACTGTAACCCTGTAAATACGCAGCTGTGCCTAGGAGCATCCCACACTGCCTGAGCCGCGCTCAGCGCCGGGGGCCTCGTGGAGGAAGGAGCGATGCCCTCGATGGGGCCGATACTTCTACGTGAAGCGTGGGCTGTTGCAAGCTGCTGTTGGCTGGTTCACCTTGACCACATGCTGGCTGGGGACTCCGCCTTATTTATTTATTTATTTATCTATCTATCTATTAATTTCAATTTATTTATTTATTTGGTTTGGTCCGCCTCTTTCATGGTTTTATTTGGCTGTTTTAATGGGCTGCTCCTGAGTTGGAGCATTTGGAGAGTAGAGCTGGGGATGGAGAGTTTGCAGCTATTTTCATATGATATGATGTGTTTCTTGAGTTAAGACACATCCCTTTATAAGCCACGGAGAGTTTTGTACAACATTGTTTCTATCCTTTTCAGTGTTTCTTTGCATGTTCCAATAGGGTATTTGTTTTAAGAGAGACAGTTATGTGAGGTATGTGAATGATGCCAGCACAGTGTCCACGGTGTTGGTGATATAGTATGTTTTTATTTAATATCAAATTTTATTATAATAAAGTCTATTTTCACAAAAATACACTTTTCCTTAGGAAAAAAAAAAAAGATTCACTGCTGCTTATTCTGTTTGTGGGATGGTCCCAGGCGCCAGTGCCTTGAGGAGGGTCTCCAGTACATGACGCAGGACTTGGCCTGACCCCGGATCACCCTGATAGCAGCCCGCTCTGGGAGCGAACCCCTTTTCCTCTGCAGCCTGGGCCCTGCCCCTGGAGGAGGAAGCGCCGGGACGCAGTGAGGCGGCGTAGCCGTGCGCCCACGGGCAGCTCCGTGCTGCCTGGGCCCAGCTGGGCATGCGCCTAGCGCTGCGTCCTGCCTGCATGGCATCGTGTAGCGTTAGTGTCCGGTCCTGGGCACGGCCGCGGCACCAAGGAGCCCTGCAGGGCACCTGCCCGGCGCAGCTCTGCTGCTGCCTCCACGTGGGTGCTGCCGTGGGGCACGGCTGGTGTCTGTGCCGCAGCGGGGCTGAGCGGCGCACGGGCGAGGTGTCTGCACGGGAGCCTGGCCGTGTCCATGAGCAGGAGCGGCGCCYGCCTGGAGACCTCCCCGAGGGCACGAACACGCTCTTGCCTCCCTGCTGTGGGGCACCGGCGGCGCCGYGGAGGCCCTACGGGCAATACCAGGTGAGTTGGGGAATGCAGAAGACAGCGGCTCCCGCCCTGGTGGTTTTGTTCTCAGAACAGATCAAGAGAAGCACAATGGTGGCTTTCCTAAAAGACATCGTATTTGTGGTTTAAATGCCTTATTTTTTTTAGATCAGGATTGTTGACCCCAATAAAAGAGGAGGAAGAAGAACGTGAGAGGCCAAGCACAAGGATGCCAGTGCACTGTGTTGTTGGGACACCAGGAGAAGGTCCTGGCTGGAGAGCAGAGGGTTGAAGCAGAAAAAAAGTCCCTATGGATTGGCCTCTTGTGTTGACGGTGTCTTATGGMTATGCTTTGGAAAAGCCGGGCCTCAAGTTCGGCTTGAGCTCTCTTCTGTTGGAAATTGTCCTCCCAAAAGTGGAACATTGTGTGCAGTTTTGCTCTCTGTTCCAGTTGGCACTGTTCATTTTTTAAAAATAATAAATTTTTAAATAAAAGCAAAGCCAGCTAGAGCAGAGAGCAAAGCCACACAGAGCTTTGCGCTTTTAGAAAGAAAAGGAATGAGAAATTTGGGTGAAAGCATGAGAAATAAGGAGCATGAGAAATAAGGAAGCCTGAAAAGCTCTGAGGTTGGGCCACAGCTCTTGACTGGTTTTGTTTGCTGAGTCACGGTGCCTCATAGCCCATCTATGGAAATGCAGGCTCTTGAAGTGGAGATCATGGTGTTAGATGGGGCTCTCTGAAAGCCAGTACATGTTGGACCTGATGCATAAAGTGGCAGTTTTGGAACACTGGTCTGTTGGGAATCCAGCCGAGGGGTCAAAAGTGACCGTGAGGATTTCTGGAGATTTTGCAAAAGGATTTCCCTGATGAGGAGGATCTGGTTGGGCTGCTGCTTCTCCTTAGAGACATGTTTCAGGAAGATCTTGCTGTGACAGGATGTCACTGCCTCCTGTAAGGGACGACAGCCAGGACAAGGATGCCTGGAGGAGTTTTGAAGTGATGAATGCACTCTAGCTTCAAATGCTAAAAGTATCTTCTAAAGCAAATTCCGCTGCTGAAAACCCATGRTAAGGCAGCCTGGAACCTCTCGGGTCTCTGCATGCACACGAGACTCCTCTATTCTGCATGGGGATTTTCCTCCCCTAACTGCAGGATGTGAGCCTCGCACTCTGTACTGAGGGGCAGCTTTGGTAACCCATGTGAAACACCTTCAGAAATGCCATCCATGCCTCGTAATCGCTGTAATTTATCTTCCGCTTGCCTGCCTTGGAGGAAGCTGCTTGCAKTTTTAACTGAATTTACCAGCTGTAGTTTCCTAAGCGAGTTGGTGAAGGTCTTTTGAAAGAAACTGTCTGTTGTTGCGCTCATTAATCTCTTCTTTGCAAGAGCACTTACAGAAATTTTCCCTTCTGCTTGCTTTGTCCTGATGCCAGACAGAAAATATTMATGAAAATACAAGGCAGTGATGCCAGACAGAAAATATTCATGAAAATACAAGGCAGTGTTTTCAGTGACTGGCAGCGGTCCATCTAGAGAGGTGAGGGCTCTGCGGTCCATATAGAGGGCTGGCTGCGGGCTCTGCGTGCAGGAGGGCCCCTGCTGCCCCTTGCTCAGCTGCTCGGTGCCTGTGCTAGCAGCCGGTGCRCGCTGGGGCTCGTGTCTTTTGGCAGTCGCACCAAAAAGTTGGTTTTCCAGTACCAAAACTGAGTCAAGTTTTTCTGAGAAACGCTTAAGACTTCCCGGTTCTGGTAGCTAAAAGCAATAGGTAAATACAGTCTGGTTATTCTGCTCCTTCATTCTTTGCTTTGAATGGTTGTGCTCTAAGCAAGTTGACCCCCCCCAAAGCTCCCTCTGATGCCATGCAAGGTCAGGGAAGAGGTGTTGTCCTCGGATTTGCTTCCCCCGCCTGCAGTGGGTGGCTGCGTTTCCATCCTCAGGCCTCGGATGAGCGGGTGTTGAACATAYATTCTCTTCATCCTGGTGACTCCAAGATGTTGATGGGTATTGACAGATACGTCATTGAGGACAGCATGTTCGTTACCACACATGGTGGACCAGGCGTAGGACTCTTTTCCTCTCCACTGTCCCTTGGGTTAGACCTCCTCCTGATTCACAGTTATCCTCTACAATTTCAGGTGAAAATGTGGACCAAGTCACTAGATAGAATTGTCTATATTTTTATTAACAAATTATCTAATAAGCTTCTTCAGAGTCTTTTCAAACCTATATGAGTATAAAACATCAATGTGTGGTTGGCCATAATTCCCAAGGTGGATTGAAGTAACTGAGGTSTGGCAAGTTTCTGAGTTCACAAAACTTATTTTGGAAGAACARGACTTGGCTTTTTACAGATCATGAGCAATACATGAGTTAATCTTGATATCTTTCTGCAACTCTTTATTATGAGCTCCAGAAACTGAACTGAAAGTCTAGAAATATGTAGTGCGTGTAGTCAGTGGATATCCTAGACACTTCTCTAGCATTGAGACAGACCAGGCATCAGTCAGTGGTCCAGACAGATGTGACCAGAGCTACTTACTTTAGTTTCTCTAGTGCTCTGTGCAGCGGGAGAAACTGYGGGTCAGCAGCTAGTGGTACCTAGAGGATTCAGAATAGAGCCAGAAGGACTGTGAAACCTGGACTCACTGGTGGCCTGGAACAAAGTAATGATTGAAAGGAACAGATGATTCTCATGCAGCTGGTGCCTTGGGGAGGATGTGGAGATTAGGGAGCAAAGATAGAGGTATAGATRGATAGAACTGCTGGTCAGAGCTCACCTTGGAAGGGACCAGCTGAGGAGAACTTGACCTGGGCTAGGGACCATTGCTATGGCCCAAGAGAGTGAAGGAAAAGGTATGTGGCTTTGTGTAGAAGAGTGTGGAGGGACTGGAATCAGATCTAGTGCAGAAGCCACTTACTATGGAGTCYGAGTCCAAAGCTGCATATGGTCCAGAGCAGGCAGGTCACGTCTTCCCGGGCGTGTGTTATTGCAGTCACATACAGCCTCTGGCTCCTGCTCTGGAGGTCTTGCTCAGAACATGACTGAAGAAAGCAACTACTTTCCATCCTTTTTGGATGGTAACCACTTTCCGTGGCAACCACTTTCCATCCAGTTTTGCAAAGTGTGCTGGAAATGTGATTCCAATCCTTCTTACACCAACTCGTCCTGCCCCCCCGTCATAGTCTTCCCTCCAGCCTGTGTTGTGGTTGCCCCTTYTGATCATTTTTCTCTTAGGAAAAGCAGCTTTCCAAGCATAGTGTGGACTCCAGGAACCTGCTTCTACATGTGTTCTCATCTCTGCACTACATTTTTCACTCATATTTAGACCCTGTTAGTGGGCAATTCATCTCCCCTTCCTTCCAAATGTCCATAACTGCCTTGTGTGCTGCAGCCACTGCAGACCAGTGGCATGGCTGTGGGGATTCTGGATACTGGGCCAATACCTTGAATTTGGAGGACACCCGAACCTGGACCTCCTGGTGATTCCTCTTCTTTTTCTGGCATCCATAAGCACAACCAGACACAGAGAAGTCACACCTGCCTTTGGTGTCATCCCCATCACTGGTTGGAAGCAGGAGCACATAGTTGCTGGCCAGGATATGTGCTTGGTTGTTCTGGGGCTGCTGGCTGTTCTTGGTCCAACTATGTCTCTTAAAAAAAATGCCCTACATACATGAAGCTTTCCCCAAAGATCAGAAGTTGTCTCAAGTGTCAGTGTGACTCTCTCCATTGCATTGCTAAGGAAGTCATTGTCTCCATGAAAGTCTTAATTAAAAATATATATTTTTTTATGATTGTACTCCCAGGCGCTTCTCTGCAGAGTTATTCTTCAGCAGATCAATGCCCAGCCTTTACTGTACATGGGTTTATTCATCCCTAGGTGCAGGACCTTGCATTTGCCTCTTTGAACTTCATGAGGTTCTTCTCCCCATCTCTCCAGCCTGTCGAGGTCCCTCTGAAYGGCAGCACAGCCCTCTGTGATACCTCCTTTTTTCCCAGTTTTGTATCATTAGCAAACTCTCTGAAGGCGAGAGTCCCTGCATCCAGGTCATTGACGAATAAGTTGAACGGTGCTGGACCCAATATTGACCCCGGGGTATACCACAAGTCACAGGCTTCCAGCTAGACTTTGTGCCASTGATCCCRAGCCTCTGAGCTCTGCTGTTCAGTCAGCTTTCAGTCCAYCTCACTGTCAGCTCATCCAGCCC